CTGTAGCAATTTGCTGTGGCAGATTCCCAGAAGTATAATAAGAACTAACACTGCACTGGACAATCTGTCTTGCGGATGTGGTGTTGATCAGGAATCCTTTCATTTTGGGAGAAGAATTTCAAATTTTATTAGAGGTTTTCATGTTCCTTATTAATGGATCTCTGCAGTTGGCTCTCCCGGGAATTGTGCCAGGGAGCTGTGAAATTGGTCGGGTTGGACAATAAACTCCTATAGCTATTGTTGGCCTGCGCTGAGCTGCACATGGCAGGGCTAATGGAATGTGTAGCAGCTACAACCATGAATATGTAGCCGGCAGCGGGCAGGCTGTAGAGCGGGGGGAGAAAACTGACGGTACCGATCTGAGGCGGAACGCAGCTGCGGAGCCCTCTGTAGTGTGTCTGTCTTTTCGTCTCTCTGAATCTGATCCTGCAAGATGCCAGCCTCCTTGGCGGGGAGGGGAGAGGACGAAGTGCCTCCCCCTTCTCACTCATTTCCAGCGCTGCCGAAATTACTCACTCGTGATAGGATGGGCGGGTGATTTGAGGCGGGAGCATCAGACTGCGCTGCTGCATCTGCCCGGTAACACCCCAGACATAAAGAGCCGCGTATCAGGCTCGACTCTGCCAAATGTTGCATTAACATCTACGTGCCATGCAGGGCAACGGTGTCTGATGGAGGAGAGACATAGTTTTTCTAGTGTATAAATGTGTACAGATATATCTCACGGATAAATGTGACAGTTTGCTGGTCATACCTGGAGCTGGAAAGTGGAAGTTGGAAAGTCATAGTACTCTGTGTGTTTTTAGGATTTGCCATCAAAGGAGCCTTTTGACAATAAGTGACTGGCTTAACTGAATATCCTTGAAGTTAGAAGCTGACGACTGCCCCACTTGGGTGTTTGCTTCTTGCACCACTCCCTCCTCCTGCTGGCACATGATGGTGTGAGCTTGCTGGCAACTGCAGAAAGGTCAGAGACCAGAGGAGGATGGAGGAACCAGATTTTTGAAGAAGGTTTAGAGACCCAAAAAAGGATGTTAGCTGCACCATGGGACAGAGAAAGTGCTTGGTTTCTCAAGGCAGTGAAAGTCACACTGTTTGCATAGCCAGGTGCTGCTGTGTTTTGTGGTTGTGGCCCCAACTTCTCTGCACCCTGAGGCTCAGTCCTGGGTGGTGGGACACAGCATGCCGCTGTGTTTGGATGCTTGCATTGCTGGTTTTACCTTTGCTGCAGATAAATAAAGGAGGTCAGCATCTGAAGCTATATCCCAATATCCTCTCCTTTGTTTAAAATTTATTAGATTAAATAAGTAGAAAAATGTTGTTTTGGGAAAAAATAGTGAGATTTAAAGTGCCTTGCAAAGAGATCTTGGAGTTTTGCATGAAAATGCACATCCCGAGCTCCAGTGAGCAATCCCTCTGGGACCAGAGCAAGCCCAGATGGTGACTCCTCCAAGTGATTATTTTTCTGCCTTAAGCCTTTCCAGGAATTTGAGTGTGGGCAGACTGCCAGTGGACACTGGCTGTCCAGACAGTTTAGCAATGTTCCATGTGTACTCACTGCCAGAGATACCAAAGTCCAGCTGCTCTCCCTGATCTCTTTGTCCCTTTTACCTTCCCAGCCATAATTACACATGCCTGCACGCACGCACGCACTTGTGACACACACAGGAGCAAAAAATCACCTGGTGTTTCCTGCTCGTTTGCATATCTACAAATTGTGAGTGACAGCTCTAAAGTTAAAGCTCCAGAGTTGGAAAAATGACTTGAATTAAAAGAAAAAAAAAAAAAAAAAAGGCATGCAGATAACAAACCCTGCGGCACACCACAGAAGGCAGGCATTCATCTTTCTAGGACAACCAGCAAAAAACTGCTTATCCAGGTCTTGTGCCTCTTGCCTTTGAGACACTCTTGTTTGGGTTCTCTCCCTTTCATTGCTTCCCAAGCAAAATCAGTCCTGTCTTATCTTTACTGTTGCTGGAACTTGAATAATGCTGAAAAGTTACTGTTTTACTTTTAGATCTTGAAGTAGAAGTAGGCTGTTTTATGCTGCATATTTCCATTTTTTTGCAAATCTAGTCCTATGTCTGTTAAGAGCTCAAAGTCTCACTGTGAAGTGCCTGGGCTTGAAAAAGTGGGGCAGTATTCACTGCTCTGTGGCTGTCTCATCCCTTGTCTCCATTAAATTTATTCATTCCTCCTGAGTTCTCCAGGAGATTTTGAGCAGTCCTTTTGTTACCAGTAAAGATGAAGTCAGTCATCTGAAAGATTTACTCCAAAGAAACCAAAATGCATGACCCAAAAGAGTTAGTACTTGGTATTTTTGAAGGATGTTAGCTTTGACATTGGAGGCCACCCAAACCTCAGTGGTTCAATGCTATTTAGCAGAATAAAATCTTTGCTTCAGCTCCTGCATAATGAAACTTCACTCCATTTCATAAGGCTTCATAGTACTACTTTCAATGCAGAGAAGCTGAACCCAGATGTCTCGAACTTTTGGAACCACTGGTTTTGGGGAGCCTGGTTTACCCAGCACAGCAAAAGAGCCTGTCCCTATTCAGTCCCAAATACAAGCTCCCTGCTCTGCTGCAGGCAGAGAAGCCAGCCTTCTGCCTCTGCTCCCAGCTTTTCCCCGTGGGAGCGTATTTAAATTCTGGATTTGCAGCTCATGTTCCAGAAGAGATTGGAGGATGGTCCACTCCCAGCACAAGCTCCCTGTGACAGGGGGAGCAGGATGAGCACCCCATGCTGAGGATGTCCCCTCTGGGCAGCTGCCTGGGCCAGGATCTGCTGACTTACCTACCCAAGCCGGCTGCCTGGGGCAGAAGGCTACAGAGAGCTAAAGTTAACCAAGGATGACTGCGCAAATGTGAGCTCGGCAGTTTTATTTTTAGTCGAACTTAAAAAGAAAAATCTGTAAGTCATGTGTAATATAATAATTTTAGCTGTTGCCAAGACACGCTGAGCAACTGTTAGGAGGAGGGGAAGGCCCATGCTGATCCAGCAGGGGCCCTGTCTCCTGGCTGCCCTCGTCGCCGCGGTCGTGGTGCCGAGGTGATGGTGCTGACAGACCAGGGCAGGTCAGGATAGTGCCTGGGCTGCTGCGCCCTGGGTGTCACCGGCCCTTGCAGCTGAAGCTGCCCTGAGTTCTTTCATCCTCCCTGTCTCCTCAAATCCAGGGAATCTACCCTGAAACAGTGCTTTACCCCCTCCCCTAGCTCTAGCTGTTGGTGTTTCATTACTGTTTATCAATATTTAAAGAATGGAGTAATTAACTTAAGACTGATTGTATCAAACCATTAGAAGGTTTGGACTTTTCCTGCAGGCTTACAGCAGCTCGGAGGACCATAAATGTAAAGAGTGCTTTTAAAGATAGGTTTAATCTGAGTCTAGTGTGTCTTCAAAGTACTTCATACACATATAAACATCAGGCTTATTGTTCATTAGAAGTGAGGCAGCAGGGAAAGAAATCCCCCAGAGGAATATTACTTGCCATAAGATAAGTATCATTACTGCTCCTCAGCATTCCCTTTAAAGTGGGCTATATCCTATTTCCATCTTCTTTCACATCCACTCTTAATTCTTTCTCTCTATTCTTCTTACATGTAATGCATGCTTTTCTTGTTGAGCTGCCACTCATGCGAGGTGCGAGGTTTCTCATCGCCCATTCTTGAACAACTTTGAAAACAGCCAGAAATGCAGATGACAGGTGGAGGCTGGACAGGGGCTGAGGAAAAGTTTCGCTCTCCGTGAAGGTCGATTAGGCAAGGCAAGGTTTCAGGAAGAGAGTAAATGTGTAACACATTACAGTTACAATATTTTCTTTAGCAGGTAACAGAAGAGTTAGGAAGACTTTGTTGGCTTTGGTTGAAATTAGTGATGTAGAGAAAGCAATTTACTTGCTCCAACAGAAAAATCAGCCCAATATGAAACTCAAATTTTTACAGTGGTGGAGGCTCATGATTTGGATCAGGAAACTCAAACACGCTTTTCCGAGCAGTTCTGGGCAGGTGTCCCCAAGGCTGAGGACACCTGAGTCAAACTCACAGACCTGTGGCTGTGGCCCTGAGTGTGGTACCAACAGCCTCTGTGGTGAGCAGTGGCTAAGAAGGAGTGGGGTTGGATCCTGCCAGAGATGGATATGGTGCCAGCGCCTGGCTCTGGCCTACCTGCATGTGGCAGGGAGTTCCTCCCAGCAGAGTCCTGCCTGGACACCTGAATGTGAGGCATCAGTAGCAGAAGGATTTCAAAGCACTGGGTCAAAAAAAACCCACCAGACATCAAAAACCTGGCTCAGATCCATCCCTGGCTCTGGGCTGCTGCTGTAAATAGCTCGCGTGGCTGAGCTTCATTGCCAGACTGGGAGATGAAGCACACGTGTCCCTGTAATGAGCTGTGGTGTGGAGTGGGGACAGGAGGCAGCTGCTGCCTCCACAGCCCTCATGGTGTCACGTGAAGTCACCCTGCCGGTGTCTCTGGGTTTCAGGGGTTTAGGAGTGACCCACCACCTTCCCTCTGCACCACTCACAGTGACTTGTTGCTAACAATATTTTGTGTGTGCCTGTTCCTCGGGACTCCCTGCTGTGCTCCCATTTAGGGCACGTTAGGGTGAAGGCAGTGTCATCATTGCAGGGGAAGAAGAGGCTGGAAGAACAAAGCAGGCACCATAGAGACATAGAGGGTTTTCGTAGAGGAAGGAGAATGGGCCTTGGGAAATGAATGACTGCTGCTAAATGTGCCAAGTTATGGCCAGGTTGTTTCTGATAGGCCTAATTTTTTTAATGTTTTCCTGATGCATTAGCAGACATGCCCAGGATTTTTCTGCTGTTTACAGCATAGCTAGCTGTCAATTGCTCCTTGATGTGAGAGTGGCAATGCCTGACCATTTTTTTTTTCCAGAGGTCTTTTTCCTGTTTGCTGATTTAGGGTGTCTGCTTATTTGTTTTCATTTCTCATTGCTGACGATGTGACTCCCATCTCCCTTGCCCACCCTTTCGTTGCAGAATCCAGAGCAGCTGTCGGAGGATCGTGCTCACAGGGAGATGATTCCTCATGAAGTCACTGGATCCCCTGCAGAAATCAAATGTGACTTTCCGTTTATCAGACTGAAATCAGAGCCAGCCAGACAGTGAAGCAAGCACAGTGGAGGGGGGACGGCGAAAGATGAAATCCAACCAAGAGCGGAGCAATGAATGCCTGCCACCTAAGAAGCGAGAAATCCCTGCCACCAGCCTGCCTTCGGAGGTGAAGCCGGTCCTGCCAAACGAAAACCACCGTGCAGATAACCTGGCATGGCTCCCCAGCACACCCAGTGGCCAGGGCTGCCTGGGGGGCAGGCACCGGCCCGGGGGCACCTCCTCGGTGGAGGCAGGCTTGCAGCAGGGTTTGCACAAATCACTGTCTGCAGGGATGGACTATTCCCCGCCGAGTGCGCCCAGGTCCGTTCCAGCCTCTACCACTCTTCCCACGGTGTACTCGCCCGCCCTCTCCCAGTCAGGGACCCCCGTTTCCCCCGTGCAGTACACTCACCTGCAGCACACCTTCCAGTTTGTCGGGCCCCAGTACAGTGGATCGTACACCGGATTCATCCCCTCACAGCTGATTTCTCCGACAGCCAATTCTGCGACCGGCGCCGTGGCGGCGGCCACAGCCGTTGCAACCACTCCATCCCAGCGCTCCCAGCTGGAGGCTTATTCCACTTTGCTGGCCAGCATGAGCGGCTTAAGCCAGCAGGGGCACAAAGTTGAGCCGCACCTGGTCAGGACGCCTGGACTGATCGCTGCTGGGTCTCCTCCACCCACCCAGCAGAACCAGTACGTCCACATTTCCAGCTCTTCCCAGAGCACTGTCAGAAATGTCTCTCCTCCAACCATCCCAGTCCCCCTGCACCCACATCAGACAGTGATCCCGCACACCCTCACCCTTGGCCCTTCCTCCCAAGTGGTGGTGCAGTACACTGACTCGGGGGGCCACTTTGTCACCAGGGATCCCCCCAAGAAACCCGAGAGCAGCCGGCTGCAGGCGATGCAGGCCAAGGAGGTACTGAATGGCGAGATAGAGAAGAGCCGGAGGTACGGCATTTCGCCTTCTGCCGACATGGGTCTGGTCAAAGCAGGCAATAAACCAGCTCCCCATCACTATGAGACCAGGCACGTGGTGGTCCACTCGAGCCCCGCCGAGTACGGCGTGCGGGATTCCTCAGGTGTCCGAGCCTCTGTCATGGTGGTCCCCAACAGCAGCACGCCCACGGCAGACATGGAGGTGCAGCAGGCCGCCAACCGTGAGACCTCTCCTTCAGCCCTCAACGACAAGGGAAGTTTGCACTTAGGAAAGCCAACCCACCGGTCCTATGCCTTGTCTCCGCAGCAGGCTCTGGGCCACGAGGGGGTGAAGGCGGTGGCCACGCTGTCCCCTCACACCGTCATTCAGACCACCCACAGCGCCTCTGAGCAACTCCCTGTGGGGCTGCCAGCGACAGCTTTCTACACTGGGACCCAGCCGCCGGTGATCGGCTACCTGAGCGGCCAGCAGCAAGCCATCGGCTACCCCAGCAGCCTGCCGCAGCACCTGGTGATCCCGGGCACCCAGTCCCTGCTGATACCGGTCGGCAGCGCGGACGTCGAGCCGTCGGCAGTCACGCCTGCGATCGTCACGTCGTCTCCTCAGTTTGCAGCAGTGCCTCACACGTTCGTCACCACCGCCGTCCCCAAGAGCGAGAACTTCAGTGCAGAGCCCCTCACCACCCAGCCTGCCTACCAGGCCACCATGGTGCAGGCGCAGATCCACCTGCCCGTGGTGCAGTCCATTGCCTCCCCTGCCGCCGCGCCCCCCACGCTGCCCCCTTACTTCATGAAGGGGTCGATCATCCAGCTGGCCAACGGGGAGCTGAAGAAAGTGGAGGACTTGAAAACAGAAGACTTCATACAGAGCGCGGAAATTAGCAATGACCTGAAAATAGACTCCAGCACTGTGGAGAGGATCGAAGACAGCCATAGCCCGGGCATCGCCGTCATACAGTTTGCGGTGGGGGAGCATCGAGCGCAGGTAATGGCAACGCATGGTGGGCTGGGGGGTTGGGCTGGGATGCATGCTCTGGCCCCCAGGCCACATCACAGCTCACTTGCTTTGGATCTGCTCTGGCTTGGTTCTTCATCCGTCTGTGGTTCAAACTGTAGACCAAAACTCATCTTTCTCACTATGCTGGGGGAACCATCAGGTCACACTGGTGATAAATGTAGACTTTCAGATATCAAATAGGTCTCTTTTAAAGCTGGGGAGCTCACAGGAAGACTTATGTGATTTTCATGGGTTTTGATTAAAATACCAGATAATGTAAGGAGTATGAAAGGTTACATTTTTCATTTTGATAGGTGATTTTTACCATTCACACCAGAAAGGTCGTGATAGAATCAGATCAAAACCTACCCTAAAGAGATAAGTCGGGCACAAGGCAGTGAATTTCCATGGCTTAAAATCCTGGAGCTGCCTGGGAATAGTTTTCATGCACATAAGTTACAGAAATGCACTACAGAGTTTTTCTGAAGCTTCGCTTGAAGGTGGTTTTAACATTGCGTGGCTTATGTAAACTCTGTGGTCAAGTGCAATTTGGAAGTAAAAACTGTCTAGGTATCTGGCCAGGCTGTGTTTCTGACCTTTGTTTCTCTGTTTGCAAAGCAGGAAGAAAACCTGTAACTTTCCAGAGGTGTTTTTAGGTTGAGAACGAGTGCATATTGATTTGAAAGCTTTATCCTGATGATGTCCATTTTCTGAGCAATTTAGATTCTGTTAGTTGATGCTGAAAAGTTCAGATGTGCTGTGTAGCATTTGGCTTCCTGGAGGTACTCGGTTTAGATAATCCTGTGGCAAATCTTTTTGTTTTGGTGTGAGTGCTGTGAACTTCACCATCTGCACCTCTGATGCTGCAGCCTCAGCGCTGGAGAAGCAGAATGAGAGAGAAGGAGAACGAGAGGAACTGGGCACAGGCACAGGTAGTAACACACCTCAGGCTGGTGGTTTGGAGGAGAAAAGCAAACAGTGATGGTGCTGAGGAGCAGATCACACAGAAAATTTCTTACACTCTCAGCAGCCTGTGGCCTGTCCTTCCCCGTGTGTACACACATGGTGAATCACTACGTGTGGCACGTCCTCCTTCTCAAGTCAAACAGGCAAATCCCCTGTGTGGGTTTGTTCATGTATGTGTCTGCATCTGCACAGCTAATTGAAGTCGAGCCTCTCGTGCTTCCAGTACAGAGACTCGATTTTTTCCCCCACTGCTTAACTGTATTTTGGTGCGTCTCAGGCATCATGTTTAGAGGAACTGTCCTTGGATCAGGACCAGCTACTATAATTTGCCATGGTGCCTTGAATAATGAGATTTCAAAACTAGCAATCTCCACTCTGCAATTTTCGTCTTGCTCACATTTCTCTTCCTGCAGCCAGGCCATCCCATCGGTGTCTGCACAGAAGAAGAGGCACAAATGAGCAGATAGCGTTTGTGTCATCTCTCCATCACAGCCCTGTCAAGGCAGGCAAAGGACTGCGGTCCTGGGAAGAGCTGCTCTTTTGCAGGGGGTGGAGTGCCATCCTCTGGCAGAAAGGGAGCAAGTCCGAGGCTCTACAAATCCAGGGCCAGGCACACGGGTGTCACCCAGCAAAGTGTCACCTTACAGAGAAGCCTATCGGGAGCGGGCTGACATCATCAGAGCCGAAATACTCCCTAGTTGTGTTTCCCACCGGGGATGCTTCCAGAATGGAGGGAGAGTCACATAGAGATATGATAAGAAACGGCAGTTGAATTTAGGTTTCCTGCAGATTCCAGGACTTGGGTCTCTTCCCAGATCAGCTGTGTCCCTGCACAGCAGGGACGACTGCCGGTTTTCCTTCGCCTTGGGGAGGGGGGAGAGAGAGAGAGAGAGCAGGCGCATTTCTATATGCTTGAAGTCTCTGGGACCTCCCCCTTAGCCTGGCCTGGCGCTCTGGGAGTATTCAGCCTTATTTCCAGGTGTGCAGCAGTCATTACTCCTCAGAAAATTGCCTGTGTGAAGAGGCTTAGTCTTCTCTCTGAAAGAGCAGTACTTGGTCGAGCTGCTCTGAGCACCGGCACTGTGGTGCTGCCACGCTGAAATAGAGCTCTTGACTCTGGAGTGCAGGGGGATAGAGCTGCGTGTGTAGTGCAGCTCCACAAAGTATTTCATTACAATTGACTTTCACTTGCACGCCTGCTTCTGCAAGGAGAGAGCTTTTCGAGTGGTATTACCAAGGGAGTGTAACTTGTAAAGAGTAAGTGCCATACAAAAATAGGGTTGTTATCATTAGCTTTGGCTCACTTACTTACTCCTCCCAGGGATCTCTGGGAAGTCATTATAATATTGATGAATCTGTATTTTCAGGCTCTGTGCAAACACTAGCTAATTTTCTCACCAGTTGAGGGACAGAGGTAGGAGGTTATTTTCAGCTGAACTTATACCACTGTAATGTATGCAGGGAGGCACCAGGCAGCTACTCTTGTGTCATGTCACTGCAAGCCCACAGCTGGCCCTCCCCAGCACAGCACTTAGGCAGAAAGGAGTCATCTTCCCTCCTTTTCCAGTCCTCCAGCCACCTGGAAAATCCGTCTGTCTTCCAGGTAGGGAAACCTAGAGGAAAATCAACACACCTGAAGGCCTTAGTAACTGAAATAAATGAGCTAAATGTCTTTGCCCCAGAGGCATGCTAGGTTTCCATTTCACAGCATCCTGGCTCTGGATTAACAAGTCAAGTAAGTATCAACTGGACCAGAACCCAAAGTCCAGCTGCTACTCCTGTGCATTCAAGGTGCTTAGAAGACAAGACCTGTTGATCTACATCTCTTTGGAATACCATATATTATTTTTGTAATAAGAATTTCGTCATGATTACCTGTCCATCTCTTTGCTGCCAGAAGAACACAGAAGTCAGTAATTCACCTCTCTTGATGTTAAGGTCAAAGCACCACAGGCTGTGCAAAATTAGTTCTCTGAAATGCTGCACTTCAGTTCCTAATAATTTCTAAAGTATAGATTGAATGGAAAAGGTGAGCATACAGTTCTTAATTTTCCTTAAAAAAACCCCAAAAACCAAACAACAAAACTAAACTGGAATCATAAGCACTAGAGATGGGAAAGTCCCACTAGAGCATGCAGTTAGTAGCCCTGACTAGTTTAGTGTATATGATTTTAGACCATCATCTAGTTCAGTTTTCCCCTTACATCTTTCAATGCATGCACAAATGGTTACTCTTTCTTTGAGCTCCCCTTTTCATTATCCTTGTCACCGTAACAGACACAGAAACAGATGTTGACTCAGTTCACTGCTGCAGATGGAGATCTCTGCCAGCCTTCCCCTCATGTGATCTCTGTGTCCCCTGGTCACAGGACAGTAAGTCCTTTTGTCTGCAAGTGGTGGCTGCCTGTGGTCTGTGCTCACGTTACTGGGTGCTGGGAGTGCAGCAGATGACACAGCTCATGTGATAAAGGCGGCAGCCCTGTGGTCTGCTGGACGAGAGGCGGCTTCTCTTTGGGAATTACGGGGTTGCGTGACTGCAGAGAGCAGCAGCCCCTGATGTTCCAGCCCTGCCTGCCTTTGCTATAGTAACAGTGGACTGAATTGGGGTAGATGCAGCCCTGGGGGGTGCCCAGTCAGATCATGTTCTGGAGGGTGGCTCTGTGGCACGAGGTGCTGCCTACAGCCCCAGAAATCTCTCACAGGAAATCCACTCTTGTGAAGACATCGGAGTGCGGGGGGAGCATTAGAAGTCCTGAAGTTTCTGAACAGGGGAGGTTGTGTGGGAGCATGGCACTGCAGAGGCTTTTCTCTGTGAGAAGGAGAGCATCTGTGAATCCACCCAGTTGTTTTTTGGGCCCGAGGAGCTTTTCAGCACCCAAAGCAAGGCCTTCAGTGGAGAGCTCTGCTGCTTAATTGCACATTGTTTCCAGAACTGCTTCTTTCTCTCTGTTCCAACCTGCCACTCCTAGTTTCATCACATTTTAATAGCATTATGGAGAAAAACACTTAATTGGAAAATGCATGTTTACATTTATTAAAATATTGTTCACATGAACCACTTTCATTAGGCACCTTTTGCTTTCGTGCTTGTTATTTTGTTCGCAGCAGCAAGGCCCAAGACTAAAGTTGTGTTTCTAAATGATGGGAAGGGTGTTTCCTGGGTATCAGATCTTCCAGCCCCTAGTATCTGTATTCCAGCTCCAGCTGGGATTTCTTAAGCTGTCTTAAGCCTGTCTTGCCTACTGAGTTTGGCTGACAAATAAAAATTATAAAGGGTTATAGAAAGTTTCAGTTTTCAGTGGCTGCACTGAAGAGTTTCAGCTGCTTTCACTAGTCAGTGTTAACAAATAGAAATATAAATGTAGCTTGCAATAGAGCCTCAGTATGCTTTGAAAGAAACCAACATGTTTGTTTCTTACTTTATCCTCTTACTAGTAGGTACAAAAATTCCAAATTTCCTTCTCTCCTAAAATAATTGTGGCAAAATACTGGGAGGTTAGGAGGAAGCTTTTAAAATAAGGGGGTTTTTGTTTTAATGCAGTGGTCAGAAAAAATTTTTGTGGGGGTATTCTTACTGAACTTTCACACTTCAAAGGTCTTAAGCTTGTTTCTAGAGGATGGTTGCCTCAAATCCCTCCTTAGCTGAATCCAGAAACAGACAGCTAAAACAGGGCTTGATAATCTATGAGGGAACCCATTGCAAATCAAAAGTGGTACATGCACAGTGTGACCAGATTGTGGGGATTCTAGCACTCCACCATCTTTGGTGTTATTCATGATCACCAGCACCAGTTCGGGTTTGGGTTTCTGTGGTCAACCCTTCAGGCAAGTGTTTTGGATACTACATTAAAAAAAAAAAAAAAGATAATGTGTGGTGGAAGTGTGTTGACATCAAGAGGAGCTTGTGTGTTGGTGAGGATGATGCACACAACCAAGTATGATTCCCACAGATACAAATAGCTTCTGACAAGGATGGAAAAGTAGAAAAGAAATAAAAAATTCAGCAGGCAAGCAGGAAGAAAGAAAGATGTGAGAAAAAGCAATAGAAAGGAGAAAGCTGTGTCCATCAGCTGATCCATGCCTGGAGACAGCCTACAGTTCTTGTGCAGACAGCAGCTTCCAAGTCCATGGAAGATGCTGGTTATTCGTTACTTCTCCTGATTAGACTCCACTTAAACTGGGATGCATGTGTATGGAATAGTATTCCAGGTTCTGGGCAAATATTTCTGCAAATCCTGGTGCTGGAGTGTTTCCATCCAGTGACATGAAGGGATAGGGCTTTCATGGTTGCCTCACCCCAGTTTCTCCGTAGTTCAGAGCTTAGCCAGGGCTCGGGTCAGGTCCCGTTCCGCTATTGCACTGTGTGTAGTTCGAATGTTGGAAAACAGTTCTGGTTGGAAAAGATTTAGCAGGACAAAAACTGATGTAGTGTCTTGCACTTCTAAACTGCTCCTTCTGAAATTCCTTGCACAGTGGCTTACTGTGTTGGGCAGGTGGAGTGGCAGGATAATAGATGCAGTGTTATCCGCTGGCCTAGTTGCAGAAGTGCATAGCATATATTTATAGACTCAATTAGGTTTTTTCCAACAGGATCAACCCTCCATAAACAGCAGCTGGCTGCTAGTGCATGGCATGCACGTAGTCAGAGGCACCGTCAACATCCGGTGAGAATCATTGGTTTCCTGGTTCTGGAGCATCTATCTCTGAGCTGTCAGACATTCCTGAGCAAGTCTTCTTGCCCAAAAGGGCTGCGGAGCTGGTGGGGTGTGAGGGACACTACCAGGGGCCCTGCTTGCAGGGAGAGCAGCTGTGGGGGTGGCACTGCTAGCAGGGAAGGGGGCAGGGCTGCTGGGGGCAGTGCTTCCATGGAGTCCAGCCTCTTCTGTGAGACAGACCATGCAACTTCATCCCAAGGTTCACACTTAACATTATGAACAGATGTGTTGGAACACTGGACTGCAGTGTGCATCTCAAACTGCTTCTGTGTCAAAATGCATTTTCAATAATGCAAAGCCATGGTGGGTGTGACAGTGTTACTCATTCCCAGGGCTGAGAGGTGATTTCACAAGCTGCTGTGATGTTCCTTTTAAGTAAGCCCGTGGTCCTGGAGAGGGAAGACTCTCCAGGAAGCTGGTATAGTCTATGCCTGCTGAATGGCTCAGAAATGAGGTGAGCACATGTATTAGCTGATCTCCTACCCTTTTGCCCTTACCAAATAAGAGTTACACCATCAGAGCAGGATTGTGCCCCCATGCCTGAGAGGAGCTCCAGAGGACATGGGGACCGTGGGAGCAGAGCAGTGGGTATCTGTCTTCAGCACAAGCCAGCCTCTTACAGTCACAGACCTCACTGGTGTGACAGGCAGCAGTTAAAAACACGTGCCAAGTTTTAAAGAAGTATTAGTCAGAATTTCCTGCTCTCTTTGTAGTGTGCTGGGGAGGAGGGGTGTCAGCCCCATGGGTTGAGAATCACATGAGTCCACATCAAGTGTTTGAGCCTGCAGTGAGTGCTGGACTGCTACCACGTGCAAAGATAAGTGTGTATTTTATCATGGTTTTATCAAGTGTTTTTTTATCATGTTGGGACCTCAAGGCCCAGCATTTGCAAGGTCAAGGAGCAGGGAGAACCTGCTGTTGGTCTGTTCTGGCCATGGCAGCTCCCCCTAAGATGGTTAGGTAGGATTCCTTACCAGATGTGTCTTTAAAAGTGGGGTGAAGCAGAGGAAAATTCCCATGGTACAGAAAAAGAGACACAGTACAGGAACTGGAGGAGGAGGAAGGACGACCACCTCCCTGAGGAAGTGCAGGAGATAAACTCTGCAGCAGAGTGGAAGACCAGGTGTGAGAAGGGAAGAAACTGGACTGGTAACAGACTGGTGGGGGAAGGCAGGCTCTCACTTGCTGCTCTTAATGTCTGCAACATTGTATGTGCTCATGGCCTTCCCCTTTCAGGCTGCTCAGTGAGCGCTTGTTCGGACAGAGGTCGGGATGACATTCCCGTGATCATTTAGGAAATCATATGTCAGAACTGAGAGCTTCTCTTGAACCACCCTCTGGTTGGAAAGGGTCTTTAGATTTGAATTACAGGTTCTAGGTACCACAAAGGGGTGGTAGGAAACAGCTGGCCAGACTGGTGGAGCTGTTCTACCCGGTCTGAGCGGCTGGATAAAGGTAAAGCTTGATTCCTGCTGAAGTTTGTGCTATGAAATACTGAGCTCAGAGAAAGTATTAAGATCTGGGTGACAAGGGCTGCCATGAAGTCTGGTGACCAATATTCTGATTTTGCAGAAAGCGAACATCGCCTTTGCAATTCCAGCTTTATCCCTCTCCCCTGTGGCAAGCACTGCACATGAGTGAGGGCTCATGGAGTGATCTCATGCTCTCTCCTCTCTCTCCCTCTGTCTTCCTGTGTTGTCCCATCTCTTTCTGCAGGTCAGCGTGGAAGTCTTGGTAGAATACCCTTTTTTTGTATTTGGACAAGGCTGGTCATCGTGCTGCCCTGAAAGAACCAACCAGCTCTTTGATTTGCCATGCTCCAAACTCTCAGTGGGGGACGTCTGCATATCGCTCACACTCAAGAACCTGAAGAACGGCTCTATTAAAAAGGGCCAGCCCATGGACTCAGCTAGTATCTTGCTGAAGCATTCAAAGAATGACAGTCTAGCTGGAAGTAGACACAGGTATGCGGAGCAGGAAAACGGGATTAATCAGGGAAGCGCACAGATGTTAGCTGAGAACGGTGAACTGAAGTTTCCGGACAAAATAGGATTGCCTGCAGCACCTTTGCTCACCAAAACAGAACCCAGCAAGCCCCCAGCAACAAGGAAGAGGAGGTGGTCAGCCCCTGAAACACGAAAACTAGAGAAATCAGAAGAGGAGCCGCCTTTGACTCTTCCCAAGCCTTCTTTTATTCCTCAGGAGGTTAAGATTTGTATTGAAGGTCGATCCAACGTAGGAAAGTAAAAGTTGTTTGGGGAAAGGAAATTAGGCTATCCCTTGTCATTTTTATCCAGATTACTGTACTGTAGACTAAATAACCCAGTATTTACATGTTATCATCTTATTTTAGGTTTATGTTATAACCTTGTTGTTATAGTTGCAGCTGGTATTATGCAGGAGACTGGTGCATATGTTTTTCCACAAGTGTTTGTCAGTGACTAGGTTTATTGAGAGCTACAGAAGGGGCAGTATCTGCTTCACACACCCTTAGTGGAAATGAATGTGTTGTCATGGCTCCTGTTTTCTAACACCTCGTGTAGGACAGGGTCCAGCTGTGATTTTGTTTTCTTTTTGTCGCTGTTTTTTTTTTTGTTGTTGTTTTGTTTTGTTTTTGTGTTTGTTTTGTTGTTCTGGTTCCTGTTCTAGTTTTTTTGGGGGAGGTGAGAAGGGAACTGTAGCAGAGGTGTGTGTCAGACATGGGGTGCGTGTGCGTGCGTGTGTGTGGGTGTGGGTGCGTGCCAGCCCCCAGGGCGGGACGGCCGCTCTCTGGAGGGTTGGTGATGAGGTTTCCTCACCCCAGGTGGATGCTGAGGACACAACCCTTGGGTGTGTTACTGAAAAGGATCAGACAGTCTCTGATGTTTTCAACAACAAGCCAACTCTTACTCAAGGCTCTGCTATACATATATATATATATATATATATATTTGTGTGTGTGTATATGTATATATATATTTTTCCCCCATGGGGTCTGACTGCACTGATTTTTATTCCTAAAGCAAACTGCCACACCACATTTCCTTTCTGCGTGCTAGTGCAGTTCCATTGCCCGGAGTCAGCGACGGCGAGGCTGTACGGACCCTCGCGCCGGTCGCCCTGCAGGGTTTCCCTTGAGGGCGGGGGGCTGGGTGTGTGCGTGTGGCGTGGGTGTGCGTGGGTGTGCGAGGAGGCCTCTGGCTCTGCGGATGCGCCTGGCTCAGGCTCACTCCTGTTTCTGTGCAGTGTTAGACAAATCGACCGGGTTACGCCAATGACATTTGCTTCCACAAGGTAGACGCAGACTGCCCCTTTGAGATCACAGGCATCCATCGTTTGCAGTTAGGTTGCAAATCTTTGTCTTTAACTCTAGTACTGGTTTTAGTTCATGGTTATGGACAACTGGTGCCACTTTTTTCAAATTGCGGTGTGTGACACAGGAATCCGCTGTTGAAGATGAACCTAGAATGTCTTTAAGCACTTAAAATGCTGTTCACACTTTATTGCTGAGCATCCTGGTCTAACACTCAGTACGTACTGTATATCACTTTAATCTGCTCGGAAAGCAACAACAACAAACAAACAAATCTCTTCAACACTGTAACTACATGCAACTATGTAAAGTTTTCTCACAGGCAAGATGCTGAAAGTTTTAATGTGGTTTCAAAGGGATGAATGTGAATTATTGAACTAGTATGTGACAGTCATTGTCCACAAAGGACTACTTAATAGGAGGCACTTTTTAAACTTTAATGCTTGAGAAAGAGTTAAAGGCATATGCGAGCTGACATAATAAAAAAAAAAAAGAGAAAGGAAAAAGGAAAGAGGAAAAATCATTGTCCAGTGTTTTTGAAAAAGATGGACTTTAAAGAATCTTGCAATTTGCACATCTTGAGTTTATCATTTGTGTGGTATTCCTGCAGTTTTTACCTAATAATGTTGTGGGGTGGGGGGGTCTGAAAGAGCATAAACAAATGTAGCAATTACTCACTAACCTGCCTACGCTCTAGGCCATTTCATAGGGTTACGTTCCTTTCAGAGTTCATTTTCAGTCTTTCTACCTTATCGGCCACACAGAACCAGGTCCTACCGGGACACCTCTGAGAATTTTTCTTCAGACTTGCTGAGAGAGTTTTCCAGAAAAAAAAACCATTTCTATAAGTAAGCAAGGTGTTTGTTTGTTTTGAAAACAAACCTATTGTTATTTTATTTTTATTATTATTATTGTTATTATTATTTGTTATTTTAATTGCATTGTTTTCCATTGGAAAGGCGACATTTCAGGAGTTTGGTACAAACCAAGTAGGAGCGGGGGGATTCACGCGTTCAGTCTTTTCTTTCCCCAGGTAGGGCCGGATCCTCTGAGGTGCTGTGCACCAAACCTCCTGCACGAGCCTCGGGGCGGTGCGAGTTTGAAGTGTGTCGGGGCTGAGGGCTAATGCCTGTCGCTGCTTCTTGGAAGATCCCAGTGGGATTTCAGTGGGATCGCACTCGGGCCCTCTGTGAGCAAGCGTTCGTGTCGTCATTTTTGGTTGGCGAGTTCACATCCTTCAGGTAGTTTTGAAGAAACTGTACTCATAGGGAGAACAGGAAATCAAAGTCTGTCATTAGAAACACAGTAACCTAAAGTGAACAAATTTATTTAAAGTCTTGTTTTCCCTCTCCCCTGAAATACAGTGCTTTTCTTTGAGAGAAGAAATGTTAACCCCAAACCCCATCTTTGACTCTTGTTACTTGTTACTTGAAATTTAGCTCACACCAGACCTAATTGTTTTTATACCATATTCTGGGGTGCACCAAAAAGTTGAAATATGTTTAAAATAGCTTGAAACTTTTTTTGAATTTCCTTGAATTTTATTAACCTCTCAGCGGGCTACCAAATAGCTGAGTGGGTTTCTTCTCACAATCACACAGCTTAGTTAGTGCTTATTTGTTAATATTTCTGCTCAGAGAAGTTGCTTAATCTTCCATATACTCTGCTCAGGGCACTTGCAATTTATTGTTTTGTTTTGTTTCCTGTTTTTTTTTTTTTAAGCTTTGATGGTAAAGGAATAGAAAGATTACAGATTTTAGTTCACAGTCTTACCACTATTTCTGTACTTCATGTGTACTTAGAGAAAAAGAAATCTCAAGTAAAACCATTCGCATACACATTTGTGGTCAATAAGGAAGCAGGGGCTATTAAACTGACTGGATCTATTCAACTAACACTAAAAAAAATAATAATAATAAAAAAATACATTTGGAGCAATAGGAATGTATTAGTTCTGTGCTTGTATTTCAGACTGAGGAATTCTGAAATAACTGGTTCTTTCCAAACAATTGTCCCCTTCCATGCTTTAGCTTTTGTAGGATGTGCAATACTTTACGTGCCAACTTAGACTCACCTGTGCGGTGTTAGCTAGATCTCATACTCACTTCTGATTTTCCCTGGTTTTGTCTCTTTTGAATTCTTTCTTTCTGCCTTTCTCCCTGCCCCCACCCCACCATTAATAAGTCCCTCCCTGTCCTCCCCCCTCCAAAAACCCACACCATATTAAGGGTAGAAGATCCCTTGCCCCGGGAAACATGAACCCTTTCTGTATTTGTTGTTTAAAGAGATCCAGGAAGAAAAAAAAAAAAAAAAGAAGCAAAAAAGAGATGTATTCATGTCTACATGGCATCCATCCAGGCAGAGGGTGGCACTCAACCATATGGCCGAGTGCCACCTTCCACCTGGACACGCGCACACAGGAGCTGGCTCCCATCGGGGCCGAGCCCTTTGCAAGGTGAGGCTTTGCCTTTCCCTCTGGCACTGAGCATCCCTCGTGGTGCAGCCCCAGGTCTGGGAGTGCCATGGATCCCCAGGGCAGGTGCAAAACACCACGTGTAAGCAGGGGATGCTGAGGTGAAGCCGAAGGAGGAGGCTCTGCCTCTGCTCTGCGTGGCGGCCGCTTTGCAATAGTAACTAAGCAGTTTTCTTTTTTGTCTGCTTGTTTCTCTCCTTTTGTAGCAGGCCTCTTTAGTTTACAACGAAATGCATACAATCACCAAGAAATTAGTCAGGGCAAAGAAAAATAAAACAAGAACCTCTTTATAGGGATTTCTAAAAAACAAAAAAACTCTATTTGTCTGTCTATCTATCTATCTATCTATCTGTCTGTCTATCTATCTATATATCTATCTCTATATATACAGTGACTGTTCCTTATAGCGTCTAACTTAGGCATTGTTTCAGTTTGTCTGGGCCACATCGTGGGGAATTTGAGTTTGATGTCACTTACCTCGAGTCCTCTGGTCGAGACCCGAATCGGAGTCGCTGTTGACCTATTTTACCATTTTGTACCTTGCCCTTAGACTTGCTTTCACTCAAAGATGCAGACCTCGGGAGGAGGGGAGGGACACACGTTCCTTTTTTCATTCCTTTAATTCCTTTGTCCCACTGTCGCTTCGTTCGACCCGTCGTTCCCGTCATTTTCTCAGCATGGGGAAGTGACATCACTACTCTTGTTTCCCTTAAATCAAGGAACATTTAGAAACCTTTCACACCTTTTACTCAGGGATGGGGCTGGTGTATGTGTGGTACACTGATGTGACCAGAAGCAGCACTTTTACTGCTCCGGAGTAGGGATGTACAATGTTACAGACAAGTTTGGATTTCCTGCATCTCATGGTTTAAACTTTGTAGATCTCATTTAGCTTGCAATACAAAAGCAGCAGGCTCAGCATGAACTGTAGCTGTTGGTTATCATGAAAATACACTCTCTGCAGATATTTATAGTACTTTAAAGTGTGTTGCCAGTAGTAAAAAGGAAATTGTGAAATTCTGTTAATTCTCACAACTGCTTAAAACAAACAAACAAAAAAAAAAGCCTGTGTCAAGGAGAGCGAATTCTCAATCTTTTTTAACACTAATAGTGTTGTTCCAGAGTGGCTTTTGGTGCAATGCTCTGCATGTCATGGGACCCAGTTCTGCAAACGCTTATACATGTGCCCGTGGGAGGTCTGGGCTGGCCAGCAAAGGCTGCTCAGGGGCTCGCTGTAAAGCACATGTATAAACCTTTGTGAAATTGAAGCGTGGTTCAATCAGGGCCAGATCCTGACCTTAATCAGGCAGCTGGAAAAATGTCGGGGTTGATCAGGGCAGACGCCTTGGGCAGGTGGAGGGGATTTGGCCCATTGAAACACTTCTGCTGTCCCAGAAACTTGACAAATGGCAGAATGAGATATGCACTCATACAGTTTCCATTTCTTCCCTCCCCATCATCACAGGTAGCAGCAGAGTCCACTGCGGGCTCTGGCCAGTGTTGATGTGAAAAGCAAGGGGAACATACCACCAGAGTGGAGGCAGTAATTTCCTTTTCTCTGGTTTTCCAACCCTCCCACTCTCCCAAATGCTGTAATAAATAGCAAAATGAGAATTTGTTGATGCAGATATGCGTATGTGCACACACACCCCCAGGCAGAAGTGTCTGTTTGCACACAAAGAAGTGACGTGTGCATTTTTTTTTACGTGTATGCCTACATGTCCACTTGATTCCCTGTCCTGAGGACAGCCTTGCTTTGTGCCCATAGGGAAATTCCAAACACGTTGCACACCTCTACTCCAGAGTTCAATTTCTTTTACATAGACGACCTCGCTTCAGATGTGTTACCTTTACTGATAGGATCTTTTCTTGTAGCACTATACCTTGTGGGAATATTTTTTGATGTAAACCTAATTTGAGAAGCTTATTAAAAATAGAAACTTTTTTTGAAGCACTCACATTGAGGAGTACAGGTAATGTTTTAAAAAATTGCACAAAAGAAAAATGAATGTTGGAATGATTCATTCAGTGTTTGAAAAAGAGATGGCTCTGTTTGAACAGTGAGTTTCATACCTTGTTTGTAAAAAAAAAAAAAAGTTTTTAAATACAAAAGCAGAGAAAGGTTGAAAGTTACATGTTTTTTGTATATAGAAAATGTCATGTCTAGATTATCTGATTTGTATTGGCTCTGGCCAGGAAGAATTATTACTTAAAAGGCTCTTAAAGAACAACTGTGCTTAATTTTCTGTTCGTATTACATGGGTCCCATTTCTGGGGAATGGAGTCACACTGTTAATTCCTGTGCAGAAAATACACCTTGGAGCAGCAATTCCTGAGTGCAGCTACCAGGCACTTCGAAGGGTGGCTACTGTGCAAAACGAGAGCCTCACCCTCCGGCTGTATTTGGCTTTAAGTCTCTTCCGCCTGCGCTGAGGGAGCCCCTGGCAGCCCAGAGGTGCAGGCTGGTTTCGAGGGAGGCCCTGGCCGTGCCCTGGGCAGGCAAGGCCCGGCTGGCCCGAGAGCGGGGACCCTGCTGGTGCTGGCAGCCCTCGGGCTGAGAGCTGCTGCTGGCTGAGCACAACTTGCGTAGTTTCCACCTGAGGTCTTTTGGTCCCATTTTTTTCTCTCTCTGGGGATGCTGTTCTACATTTTTTCAGCACTTCCTGGTCCAGATGAAATCCAAAGAGTACAACCCTGAGCTAGAAGTGCTTGTAACAAGGTATCCTTGCCCAGCACTAGCAGCACAATGGTACCCGAGGCGACCCGGCCTTCCAGCCCCTGTCACTGCCCCTTTCTCCCACCACTGCTGCCAGGGTGCCAGGAGCAGCTGGTCACACGGTTCCAGTGGCGGTCTTGACCAATGGCAAGACTGGTGTTTTTCAGAAGCCAAAAGGAGAGGATCCGGAAGCAGTTTCTGAAGAGAGGATCCTTTTCCTGTCCAAAGATTGAGCTGGGCAGCTGGAAGCTGGTGGCAGGGTGGAGAGGGCAAAGTTTCCAGCTGCTCCCATCCCCCTCCCCAGAGATGATCCAAGCTTTGGCTCCCACAGGCACAGGGGATGGGAATGCTCGCCCTGTGCAAGTGACCCCCGGGTGCTCAGAAACCAGCCCCAGTTGTGTTATGGTGAAGTGCATTCAGCCAACAGGTAGTATTTATACAATAACCGTCTCTGAGGTTTCCGTAGGTTTTTTCTTATTGTTAGCTGAAAGGACGCAAGTCTTCCACTGAGGATTTTAAGGAGGCTTCATCCAAGGTTGTTTCTTTTTTGTTAGTTTCTCTTTTGAGCAGTTAAAGCTCCTGTGCCCTTTCCCTCGACCACGCAGTAGGTGTGCATTGGAAGTGTTGTTTGCAGCGAGCGGAGTCACTTGTTGAAGCTGTCCTTGCTGTACTACGAGATTGGTGATGGGCAGAAACTTCAGGGCCCAGATCCTCGGCCAGAGTGGAGCCAGGGTGGGACCACTGGCTCTGCCGGCAGTGTGGGTCTGCCCCTTCACACCTGCTGGTGAGGGGATTCCACCCTGGCATTTGCTTTAAAAGTCCAGGACCCAGGTACTCTCCTGTTGAACAAGCTCTGCAGAATTCTTGTTCCAGTCCACCGGGTTTGGATCTGGGCAGCTGAGGGCAAAAACGGGCCAGGGATGGCTGCAGGTGGCTCGGACGGCCAGGCACTTCGCGAAGTTACTAATCTGGTAAGGCATAGATGCAACTCTTCACGACAGTCAGCTAATGTTGAAACTCACTAATATATGTATTTGCTCCTTTTTTTTTTTTTTTAATAATGTATTAACTTGTTGAACACTGTTCTTTTCGCAGTGTTACAGAAGTGGGGGTGGGGGGAATTTCCCAACCTTTTTCAGTTTGGGTGAGCTACTGAAATCCATTTTGTACTAGCTATGTCACCGCTCCCGGCAGCAGCTGGCAGCGGCGCTTGGCCGAGCCGGGGTCAGGTCCAGCCATTCAACATCTGTAGTTTTTAAAGTAATTTTTTTTTAATTGTCTAGTATTACTAATGAGGGTTGTTGCAAATCACACTTCCAGTGTAGTTCCTAGTGTAGGCCCAGTAAAAGGGATATCGCAGCTTTGTGTTGGGGAGAAATTGAGCTGACATGGCCAGTACAAAGGAGAAAATAGGGAGGGAATAACGTTTTGCACCTTATTGAAAAGAGGAGAAGATTTTAAGTGCATACAGACATAGTTAAGAGCTTTTATTGTGACAGGAGAACTTTTTTCCATATGCGTGCATACTCTCTGTAATTCCAGTGTAAAATATTGTACTTGCACTAGCTTTTTTAAAACAAATATTAAAAAAAATGGAAGAATTCATATTCTATTTTCTAATGGTGGTGTGTCTATTTGTAGGATACACTCGCGTCTGTTTATTGAATTTTATGGTCCCTTTCTTTGATGGTGCTTGCAGGTTTTCTAGGTAGAAATTATTTCATTATTATAATAAAACAATGTTTGATTCAAAATTTGAACAAAATTGTTTTAAAGAAATTGTCTGTATACCAGTACAAGTTTATTGTTTCAGTATACTCGTACTAATAAAATAACAGTGCCAATTGCAAATGCATGTTTTTGTCTTTTATGACTGAAGGGGAGAGAGCTTTCCTAGGGACATCATTTGACCAATTTAATTCCCTGCCCAGTCCTCCCCCAGCCCCGCCCTGGCAATGCATTTGAGAGCATTGGCTTTTATTTGTGACGACGCCCAGAGGTGCCTGTACCCTCCCACCCATGGCCACAAAACGCTCTGCAGCCCGTCAGGGTGAAGCTCTTTATTGCATAACAAAAACTTGGGAGCAGCTGGGATGATTGGGCCGGGAACACGGGGATGCCACAGCAGAGGGAAGGGGGCAGCGCTCTCATCACCATCTCAGCAGGGCTGAGCAGGGCAGCAAAACACTGAAAGCCGAGCAGCTTTTTGGCCAATGACACAGAAACACTTCACAGTTATCACAGGCAACGCCAGGGAGTTCTGGACTCCAAACTGATTTATGCATGAAAACTTCAGCCAGCAAACACTGGGTCAAATAAATGTTGGGGAGGGCTTGCTTAAGCATCTAAGTGACGACAAAGGAAGCTAAGGCTGCAGGGGGTGGTCTGTCCGGAGTGCAGAGCTGTGCCAGCATCTACTCGAGACATGCTTCAACCCCGCTGCTCCTGGCAGCTCCCAGCCCGCAGGGAAGGGCTGGCCCTCTCCCACCTGCTGCCTTGGCTGCTGCAGAGGGAAAACTGCTGTTCTTGAGCCCTGACTTTTTTCCCCCCTTCTCTTCTGCACAACGCCAAATCTGGCACTGGCTGCAAAAGCCCTCCTGGCTCCAAAAGAGAATTTTGGGTGTGAAACTGGTATTAGCAACTAAACAGCACCATCCCCCAGTGGGAGATGTGAGATGGTGATGGATAGACACTGTACATACAGCGGCAGAAAGCTGCAGCAACAAGTCTGTCACGAGAGTGGAGTTTAACAGGTATAAAGTAGGGAGTGCTTGGTTCAGAAAAGCTTCAAACTCTCATCATGTCTTTGACTGAAAGCGCCTGTCCCAGCACAGTGGAGCTTGGCCAACAGCTGCCACGTTTCTTCCTTAACCCCATCCTTTCTACCCCTGCTATTGACTAGCTGAAAGAAGAGACAGGCACATTTTAAATAGGAAAAGCTCCCCCAAAGGCAGAGGCTTCTTCTGATCCTGCCTTATAACTCTCCATATTTACAGGGTGTCCCCATCCTACATTCAACCCCACCATGCCCTAAGGGAGAAGAAAGCTGCACCAAAGCACAGCCAAAGCCCCTGCCCCATGGCCAATGGGGACTGGCTGTTCCAATGAGCAGATGGGAATGTGTTTCTCCCAGAGAATGGAGACCTTCATGGCTTGTTTTGCACCTGCCAGGATGTTGGCTCAAGGCCCACCCCCTTAGCAACTGCTCACACCAACAAGTCCACTTGCACAGTGCACTCCTCACTGCCACCACAGCCACCGATGAGTGAGCAAGGCTGCTCCTGTGCCAAAGCAAGGCAATCCCAGAGCAGCACTGGAGTGCCAGGGGTGTTAGAGGTGTCCTGATGTTTCAAGAAGCCACAGGCAGACATGCTCAGCAGGGATTGCTTAATGACATAATGTTGCATTTTTCAGCATCCCCACTTGTAGGTCTTTGGTATGTTAAACTGCACCCCTGTGGAGCCAGTGGGAAGCTCAACACGGCTCTTGGGAGCTCAACAATTGCCTGGCTGGGGGAAGCAGGCATGGCTCTGGCTTACAGTACACGCTGTCACACTCACAGCATTCTTCTGGACAGGATGGGGTTGGACTGTAGGGTTAAAGAAGACCTGGTTATGCAGAATGACTCAACATTAAGCATTATTAAGCACTTAAAAATTTCATTTCCCACAAAAGGACACCAAGTAACAAAGAACCCAGTTAGATGTGCAGGTGAGGTAGATCTACAAATGGCACATGGCATTTGTCAGTGGTTGCGGTCTTGACTTGGACCATCCTGCCAGACAAAGTGTGTTCCTGGCTCCCTCTGCCTCAGTTCCTTGTGGGAGTGGCAGCAGGCTTGAGCAGGGTACAGGACCTGGGGCTAAGTGAAGATCAGAGCAACAACTGCAGCACAGCAACAGGTGTTAAAGGGGGACTCAAGCGCTTTTTTTTTTTTTTTTTTGTATTTTCCAGCCTGTCTCAGAGCTGCACAGTGTCAGTGTCAATGATGTACAGTGTCAATGATGAGCACTGACATAGCTAAGGGTTATTCCAGAACAAAATTCACATATAACTGGGTGAGATGCAGACATGCCACCAGTTCAGCCTTTCTGCATCTCATTTCTCTCTCCTGCTCACTTTTCGAGAGGAGAAAATGAAAGAAAACATGCTGCTTATCAAAACAATGGTAAGACCTGCTATTCAGAAAACCTAATACCTAACATCAAAACTTTATCAGTCACCATCATGGCATCAATGTCACTCACAGCCTGAAGAATTCCGGGGACAGCTTAAGAATAGCCTGTCCCTCTCCTATTAATCACTGATCAGAGGTATGTGCAGGAGGGGAAGGAAAGGAGGTGGAAGAGTGGCCCCATTTGCCACACTTGTAGAGAGGCAGCCTCCCCTTGCCTCCAGCACCTGCCCTTTGGAAAAGAAACTGTTCTGAGGCCATCATGAAGCTGCTTGTTTTGGTGTGCGCATGATCTTTTAAAAAAAGGTTTACAAATATATATATATATATTTTCTTATATGCATTTCTTAAATTCCACTTAGAAATGTAGCTAAAAAAAGTAGAAAAGCGCTAGTGAGAGTGGGCATGAGGCCAGCAGAGTGCTGCACTTCCCACATGTGAAGGCACCAGTATGGAGACACACCTGTGGTCAGGCCTGGGCTGTGGTGGTCTAACCCCACTCCTGACAGAGGTGTCCATTTGCTTCCCCTCTGCATCATATAAACAGAGGAACAGTGCTGTCCCACAGCTGTACTGATGCAGAGAGGTCACACTGCCCCTGCTCTGGGCCTAGTGCAGCTGAGAGCAGTAGGTGGTCCACAGCACCTTTCTGTGGTGGAGAAGCCTGGCATTCTCTTAACATGATGCTTCCAGGCTGGAGGGAACAGAGATTCACAGGGCCTGCTGATCTTCTGCATTCACATTCCTTTATGATATGTGGGCAAGACAAATGGTACTTGCAGCCAGCACAAGCATAACCTGTGCTCACATCAAGGCCATCCTCTTCCAAAGCAGACGAAGAGGTCATCCCACAATTAAGAAGTACATCCTACATATTAAATGGAAGACATTTAAAATACCAGGCAATTTAGAAGATACCCTGTGCTTTTTTTTTTCCCAGTATGCACCACACACTTAAAATCACCAGGGATCAGCTTGTGGCCTGGATTTGCTTCTCAGCATGGTCAACTGTACCAGTCCTTGTGATGGCGTTTTGAACAGTCCAGCGTATGAGTTTAATTCTAGAGTTTATCTTTGTATTCCTTTTCCTACAGATTACTTTTTTGCTTTTCAAAGGAAGCCTGCCTCTTTCCACAGACGTCTACAGAAGGGGAAAACAAGACTCTGAAGTACTGAAGTAACATTAGCTGCGTTATGATCTCAGCAGCAGTTTAAAGTAAGTGGCCAAGCATTATTAATTCATTGGTGCTCACTTTTACATCATTTATCATATCGAGCTACTGTGGTATTCATGTAGATGCAACATGTATTTCTAAAGAAATTTTCATTGTGATTTATCAATTAATTATCAGGCCATTCCACTTTATTGAGGTGTTACCCAGAGTCTCAAACATTCACTACTGCCTTTAGAGCAAATGCTTTAACTCCATCTCAGCCTGACAGTGTCTTGCAATCAACCAAACTGTTCTGCCAAAAGCTCTCTCTTGCTTTACATGATGTCAAGGACTGCAAAGGAGTGGTACCACATAACCAGAAGGCAATTTGATCCCTCTGGCTTCCTCCACCTGGCCACAGACAATGCACTGCACAGCGTTTTTTCATCTTTGCTAAATGGATGTGAGCAGGCAAGGGAACAGGGAGGGCTACAAAGAATTGTAACCCTTGTCAGGGTTACAGTTGCTGAGTTTCAATGTCTTTAAAACCTGTTCCCAGAGAGCAGTTAAAAGCAGGAACTGCACTTATGAGGCAAGCTCTGAAAAGTGATCACCTGAATGATCTCCTCAGATGGGGGCAGGGGGGCCAGCACAATTTTGCTACATTCAGTGCCCGCTTCTCTGAAGGGGCAAGTCCATTGAAGAGGGAGGTTTAAGTAAGAACAGCAACATCAGCCCTGTGAACTGAAAGTTTCAGCGATCTGGCATTTTTAGAATCACATGTCACCAGCAGCCAGGCCTCATCTACCATCCACCTCTGAAACTTTGCAGGCTGGCAGCTGTGCTGTAACATCCATTCTTTAGCCAAAAAAATGATGAAGAGAATTTGATTTTTTATTTCTCCATGCAATTCCTTGCATCTTTTTCTCTCCCAGCCTGCAATTTCTTAAAGGTGCACTACAGAAAGTGGTGGTAGCTGACAGGTCAGTCTTAGAAACGGGAATGTGTGAATGTGTGCAGGCGTTAACAGCCATGTCTGTACAAGCCAATTCCTTGTTAACTGAGGTTTCAGCAGCTATTTATCAGAAGGGGAAAAAAAACAGGTGAAGAAATGATTAAAAAATAAAATAGGCACAACCATAAAAGATGAGGCTATTGCATTTTGAATCAATGGCATTGTGTTAATAGCATGACCTTCCCCTTCCAAATCCCAGCCGTAGCCAATGGCTATGACACTGCTGTTCTGAGAGAGAGAGAGGGAAGTTTGCCACTAACACAACATGGAGGAGAAAGCAAAGGAAAAGAGCAGCCCTTCCTGCTCTTCTTCCCCACCCCTCTCTCCAGCCCCCCAGGCCTAGGCTAGGAGAACACCTCGTTGTGCTGCTGGGTGACCCGGATAAACGTTGTTCTCTTGCTCAGTTCCTTGAGTTTGGCAGCTCCCACGTAGGTGCAGGTGGAGCGCAGCCCCCCGAGGATGTCCAGGATGGTGTGCTCCACATCCCCTTTGTATGGTACCTCCACAGTCTTGCCCTCTGAAGCCCTGGAGAAGAAATCAGTCACTGCATTCATATGGATGCAAAACATGAGTGTGTTTAATGGAGAATTGTGGAGCTTAACTCTGCAGGTTGCAGTTTGCAAATGTGTCCTCAGCTTTATCGCTTGCTGCTTGGTGCTCTCAAGCACTGAAATGCCTCAGCTCCACTCACCACCAACACTGAGAAGTAGAAGTAGACAGATCTTGCAGATGCTGCAATATCCCATGAGTTTATTTACAGATCTGCCCCTTCCTCCCCTCTACCATCTGCCTACAAGCAAGTGGAACTTCCAGCTTTATTGAAAAGTAAATCTGACTGTGAGAGTTGCAAGCTTTAAAGTGTAAGGAATGGCCAGACTCAAACAGAGAAATACTGGAGCTAACTCTCAGGAGGCACCACCCAGCACAGCTCTATAGAGGCTTCATGGCCCCTGGGCTCTGTCCCGTGTTACTGATCGGACACAGACAGAAGTGCTCTGTCTGTCTCCTACCAGTGTGATTCTCCAGAGCTCACAGAGAGTGGGAAACCTGTTACAGAAACCTGCTGCACAGCTGTCCCTTGAAGCTAAAAGGTGATGTAGCACAATTCAGTGCCAGGCAAAAAAGCCAGAAAAATAGCAGTGCTGTGAATACTGTCAAGTGCTGGTGCATGCCAGCACAGACTGCACTGTTCCCAAAAAGCACATCTGAAAAGTTACGCGATGGAGGAATCCAGGCAAATAACTTACACTCCTCCTCCAGCTTTCTCCAGCCCCATAATCAGCAATCCCTCCTGTAGCAGAGACCCTTAATCAGCTGGTTAGTGGGAACAGCAGCTGATCCCACTACACTTTAGAGTAAGCTTGTTCTGCCTGGCACACTGGCTCCTCTGGGAAGGCAAGCCTTGGGAAAAGAGGGTCTAAGACAGATGCGAAGGGAAGAGGAGATGCTTTCCTTCTGCCCTACAAAATGGAGGCAGAAATCATAGCAGTGGTCTGTCATTGTTCTACATATGGCTTTATTTGCTTCTTCTTTAAGAAAGTTTCCAGGGGATAGTACAAGAAAAGGCATGCCTGTTTGTAAGCTCCATTTGTGAATCATTAACAACAGCAACAGCTGCTATGTGGAGGTACTTCAGTGTGAGCCTGGCTATATTTCATCCTGTTAGTTTAAATGCGAGGTCACAGCCCTAGGGAGACAATAAAGGCGAAGTGTTGATATGCCATGTGAGTAAGGAGCCATGATTAATCTCCCTACATTTGATGAGTAATTGACTCTTTCTTGAAACTCTTAAAAAAACACTGCAGTGAGTGGCCAGTGGAAGATGGATGTGCCACTGGCATCTCACAGACTGCACAAGGTTTAGGGGTCTGTTGTATGGCCTGTGCTGTTGGGAGTTCCCAGGCTTTTATTTCCAGGTCCAGTGTCAGAAGGAAAAGGCTGGACCCATGAAACAACACTCATGTCACTGTTCCTGGCTTTTGGCCATGCCCATCTCTTCCAGTCAAAGTTGGGAGGTTGAGCTCAGGCTTCAGGGAGCTTCCTGCAAGATTGTGAGAGACAGCGTGTGTCTGGGATTTGCAGAAACCAGTGCAAGTTCTATCACATTCTGCCACCTGAAGAGCTCTGCATGCTGTTCTGGGCAAGGAGTGCAGGGTTTACTGCATTTGTGCATGGCCACCCATTCAGTTAATGCATGAGAGGTCAATTACCTGATGCATGAATGCACCATCAGTTCAAATGTAAACTCCCTGTTAATTCGTGCTTAAGCATCCTGTGGGTCATAAGTTGCACATTGCTCCTACGAGCATGAGCACTTGGTGGTTCTTTTTTCAGTGAAAAAATACAGAAACGGGTGATGATTACAGCCACTGCCCCTGGGAGGTGTCCCTGCAGTGGCTACGGTGGTATTAGGACGCTGAAGCTTGTGGGTTGCCACTTTAGGCTTTGGAGACCAAGATCTACAGAAGTGGTGAACACCTAATGACAGAGCCCCAAAGCTCTGACAGATAAACACTTGCTATTGTTCCTCAAAGTGTCAGCTGATGAGCTGGTGGGACATCCTCTTGATCAAGCAGTAACCTGCAGATACCCCACTGGGGAAAACACGCTGGAAGAGAGGTGTGGGATTAGCTCCACAGCCTTGTCCACAGGAATAAGGGGATGAAGTTTCTGATGAATATATACTCAAGCTGTGCTAACATTAACCCCAATAGTCTTGCCCCCAGAGGAAAGGGGTTTTTAAGAGATTAACATGTTGCTCAGACCAAGCTGGGAAGTCATCTGGCTCCCAGGGAAGCGTGGGTGGAATTTTACTATGTGTATGCACACACTGATGCACTGTTAATTGCTGTAGTGTGGCCCAGGGGTGGGATCTGTATCTATATGGGTATATAACCAAATGTTAACCCCTTTAACACAGTGCTCAGGATGGAGAAGAGACATTTAGTAAGTGTACTGCTACAGTATTAACCCCTTGTGGCTGGTCCACAGGGAGGTAAAATGGAGTTTTTAACTTATGTACATTAAGTTAAATGATAATGTCCAAAGAGTTCATATTGGATTAACCTTCTAAGAGTCCCCCAGTCTGTGCCTTCCCACGGAGTGACGTATAGGCCATCAATTGCTGGGCTTGCTGTGTTCTTGTGTGAGTGCCAGATTAGTTCATGCATGAGCACTGAATAAATTAATGCACGAGTGCCCAATTAATTCATGCATGAATAGCCAGTAATTTCTGCATAAGCATCCAATCAGTTCATGCATGCCTGCCCAAATTATTTATGTCCAAACACCCTGTTAGTACATTCATGAGTGCCCAACGTGATGAGCGCCCAGCTGACTTCCACCAGCACCCACATGGGTGCCGTGCTGGGCAAACACCATAGGGCTCAGGTGACACGGGGTGGCAGTGTGACCTGTGTGGGAGAAGGCCACAACCTACATCATTCCAGAGATGTTCCACCTGGCTCCAAAAATGGTGTGAGTCACCAAACTTTCAGGAAGTCAGAGGAGCACATGACACCTCTCCTCAAGTGTATTTATGAAACAGCAGCGACCACTGGGAGAGGAAACACACCTGGACGCACCTGAGGAGACATGCAGCTAGAGGCACCCTTGAAAGGAGGTGGTCCATGCCAAAGGTGTGCACTCCCAAAGGGAGTGTAGTCTCTGTGTGACTTACGCTAGAACAGAGACAGCTGTAAAGGAACTGTGTCCTGTGGACAGCCCTCAGTGTTGACAACATGCCAGTGTTTTCGTTATTGCCAAGCTGTGGTTACTGCAAGTCAAGGACTTTCCTCTTCCTCACACCACCCCACCAGTAAGTAGGCTGGGGGGCACAAGAAGCTGGGACGGGACACAGCCAGGACATCTGACCCAAACTGGCCAAAGGGACACTGCATACCATATGGCAACAGGCTCAGTTTATAAACTAGGCGGGGGAAGCTGGCTGGGGCCACTGCCCAAGAACTGGCTGGGCATTGGTTGGCGAGTGGTGAAAAATTGTGTATAACTTGTCTTGCATATTATTATTGCTGTTGTCTTTCTGTCCTACTAAACTCCCTTTATCTCAACCCATGGATTTTGCTGTTTTTTCCCAATTCTCTCTCCCATCCCACTGAGGGGTGGAGTGAGCGAGTGCCTGTGTGGTGTTTAGCTGCCTGCTGGGATAAACCATGACAATGGATTACACAGGCTGTCACAAAAGCTGGCATACTTGGCAGAGAGCTGCATAAGCAAGTCAGCAGGAACTGCTGAGGGTTTTGCTGCTCTGACATCTCTCCTGGAGTTATGACCCAAAAGTAACCCCTTCTCAGAAAGAAAGGTGATGACAGAGCAATTGAGGCTCCCAGCAGCTGGGAAAGGTGTGCTCAGATGCTCTCAGCAGTAACTCAGACTCTTGCCAGCCACTGAATAGAAAGGGAAAACAATTTGCTTCGGACTTTTTCACAGGGCCCAGTCTGTGGTGCCCCTCCTGGCCAGCTGAAGGCTGCTGCATGGAAGGATGTGTGTGGTGGGTGGGAATCCTGGCAGGCTGCATGGCATGATCACATGTGATGGTGCTCTGTCAGCCTAGCAGAATGTGGGTCAGAATAAAGGGGTCAGGCTGCCCTGGCATGAAGCAATCTTTTGAGTGGGGCATATAAGAAATTGAGGAACTGGGGGCAGGTTTTCCAGGCTATCATTTGGGACACACAGGATGGTAAGCAGCAGCCAGCAGTTGGTGCTATTCTGTCTCTATGGCCAAAATTTCACCCTGCACTTTATATTAAGTGCCCAAACCCAGCTTAGTAGCAGCTGTGAATTGCTGAGTGGCCACAATAGAACTGCAGCATTCACACAAAACCTGTGAAATTTCAAAAGGGCTAGCACAACCAAATTGGCTCAAACTGAACAATACTGCATGCATCCTCAGCCCCTGCTTGCCTTATTTGTCCTCTCGCACAAAAGAAACATTAAAATTGCTTTTCAGAAATCCCCAGCTCTGATCCATATTCCTCATGGAAGGAGGTGAAAATGTAAAAATAAGCTAATATATAAATGACATAAGATTAAGGAAAGTGAGTGCACAGATTAAATGGGATCAGCTTGACATATTCATTACAAAAACAATTACTCTCATGACTTTATTCCCTGCCACAGCCATCTCACCTTATCTGTCAGTTTTAATGTAACTGCTGCAGGCTCAGGTTCCCCAGCCAACACGTGTAATTTTGAGAAGATGAAGTTAAATGACAAGCAGTCTGATTCTGCAGGGGACTGAGCACACTGAGCTCCCCGCTGCTTGAATAACACACTGTGAGTGTTCAGGCACTTCTAAAAACAAAACAGCTTATTTGGGTCACCAATACAGACCTACAGCTGGGCTTTTTAAATGCATATAAAGGACCCCACTGACTTGACCTGTTTGGGTCAAGTTTGGGGTATCCAGCATTTAAAATGCTGACTAAGAAGCCTTTTGGTTCAAGGTTGCCATCAGCTAAACTAGGAAGTGATTAAACTTCCTGTAACTTTTACTATAAAAGCAATTCAAAGAAAACCTTGTGCTGTTTCAAATCCCCCTTCAATGCCCAGCACATTTACAATGCTGGATTTAGCAGCTGCTATTTTTAAACCACAGTGACACTCACGCTGGGACAGGCCAAGGAAGACCAAGCCCAAGGCTGGTACAGGTAGCCAGGTCAGTGTCATAGCTGTAGAGTGAGGATGAGTACCAGCACTTCCCTAGTTAAGGGCCAAGGCTCACAGATTTAGTGTTTGGAGCTGTTGTATCTAGCAGTAGACGGGGAGACTCCTACTATGCTACCTATTAGTGGCACAGAAATGCAGTATTTCAACAGCGACTCAAAATTTCAGATTGTGCTCCTGCTCCCTTGCTGCTGAGAAAGTTTCAGAACCTGGTCCCCAGGGAATTCTCAAATCGAGGATGCAAATCAAAATACAGCTATGGATCAAGCCAAATTTGTATAGCATTGCCCATAATGATTTCAAAAGGTCTGTCTAGACTGAGCCAAATACAGCACCTTTCTGCATAACCTTTGCTCCTATGAGACACGATACTTGCACTTTTTCTCATTTTTAAGAGGGACCAGTGTCAATTAGTTCTCCTGCTGGCAATAAATTTTGTTGCCAGATCACACACACCTAATTAGGTAGAACAGAATTTAAGAACTGCCTTAGTCTTTTGTCCTCCTGGTACAGCCAGCTTTCTCAAATTCTTCCTACATCTTTCACCAGCTCTGTGGAGGCCAGGCTCTAATGACTGTGCTGCACTGAGATCCATGCAGCACTCTTGGGCTGCTCAGTGATCTCTCAGGTAGATGCCATTAACTATGTGCCTGAGCAGCATCAGGCCTTTCCCACACTCAAGCTGACTCAAGCACAGGACAGGAAATGAACATTCAGGTAAAGGTTGCCAGCACCACTGTGCAATTGGCAGCTGCCACTTTTATATTACAAGACACTTATTAGTGCTGTCCACTCAGAGCATTTGTTCAGAGGCTTTGATGACAAGCAGACTTGCTGGGGGACAAAAAAAGAAAAAAGAGCCCCCATACTGTGTGCTGCTTCTGGGCAGTGGCATATGAACCCAAAGTGAATGAAAGCTCAGAGATATGCAACCACATCTGTCTGGTGCATCATTTCACCTTGTCTCAGATGCAGATGGCATCTTGTGCAGCTCTTTCTTCAGCAAATAAAAACTTGTGTGTGAAAACAAAAACACTGAACAGGTTGCCCAGAGACCTGCTGGATGCCCCATGCCTGGAAACACTCCAGGCCAAGTTAGACAGGGCTCTGAGCAAACTCATCTAGTTGAAGATGCCCCTGCTCATTATAGGGATGTTGGACTAGATGAACCTTAAAGGTCCCTTCCAATGCAAATGATTCTGTGATGCCACGATCCAGGCCAAAGGAAATGGCTGTAAATGCTCTGGTGGAGGCTAAGTTTTACCACTTTGCATTCTGCTAAGTGCTATGTGAATGAGTACACAATTTTATGGTGCAGACAAAAACCACCACAGGAGTCAATGCTGGGGTGGAATCAAAGATCTTTCTGTCTAGCATGACATCTGGGATTACTATCTATCAGCTTGTCTCTGTGTCAAAGCATGAATTCCATTTCATTTTGTGGATCCTATTCTGCTTTACATTCTGTGCTGTCACCTTCACAGAGCTGTAACTCTTACCCATGGTAGCAGCTGGACACACTGGGAAAAACCTGTAAGCTGCAGTGGTTGTAGCAGATGAGGCCAACAAAACTCATCAATCCTGAGTGTCTGGCTGGAACTGCAGGTGTACCGAGACTCCTGCAAACAGCAGTTTACCAGATGGGACCAGAGCCTGAATCTATGCCAGCAGAGAAGAATCAAAAGGGACCCCTCAATAATCAGTGTTTACTGTAAGACAGGAGTCATTCTCTAATGAAGTATTTAAGAACCATGTTGTCCAAGGGTAGTGACTAAGACTGCCACTCATAAGCGAAAAGACACAGAGGTTTTCTGATGTCATCTGCTTTTCCAAGAAGTCAACATTCTCAGCACTTTCCAGGGTAAAAAAGCAATGGAACAACAGATTTCTTTGCAAAATCTGTCTTCCTTTCCTCTCCCCTGAGAAGTTAGCTCAAAAATGAAGCTTCTGCATTCTGCATTATTTGAGGCTACTCTGGTGCTCTGTTACCAAAAGAGGGCTGGGAAAACTGTACAGCGGGCTTCTGCTGCCTATGAAGACTGCCCAACAAATACAGAAGGGAATCCCAAAGCTGCTTCTGGTGACTGAGTGCTTTGGAAGTCCTGGGCCCTCATCTCTGTACTGGGGAAACCCCAGCTGAGCTTCACCAGTTCACCAGCATCCACTTTCTGCAAGCAGAAGGGAGCATGTGAGTTAGCTGGGAATCCTTACACCAAAAAACACCCAGTGTGGACAAGCAGAGGGACAGAAACTGCAGCCTGGTATGTCATGTTCCAGCATTTAGCTGATACATACCTTGAAGGAGCAGTAAGTCAGGAGAGTGCCTAATGACTTCCCAGACCACACTGGTTCAACAGTGACAGCACACCACACCAGCTGCAAACAAGTGAACATGACTGCTCTCAGCAAGCCAACCCCAGCTCTTTCTCCCTGTCTCCCTCTGGATGCCATTCCTCCCTCAGATCAGGTCGTGAGTGTCGGCAACAGCTGCTTCAATAGGAGTAGCAGCATAGGCCTGTTTCCATCTGCCCAATTCTGCTCCAAAAGTTCCTGGATGGAGGGAGCACTGCAATTGCTCCTGTGTGGAATTCATACCTGTATTCAGCAACCCCTCCTGCATGCTTCTTCATGGCTGTATCAGAGCTCATTCCATAGAACAGTTTCACCTTCTTGCCATTCCTTTCTATAATATCTCCAGCACTCTGGTCATGGCCTGCAAACATTCCTCCAATCATGACGAAGTCAGCACCAGCTCCTGTGATCAGCAAAATAACACATAAAAAAGCAGGGAAAGGAGAAGGTGAAAGCCAAAGCAAGAACAGAGTGATCTCCAGAAACAATAGCCAGCATTTAATAGTTTGGTACGGAGTCCCCTCCTGTAATAGTCACAGCAAACTTGGAGGAAAAGCCTTATTTAGAACTGACACAGGCTGAATTGTATTTCTCTGGTACTTTAAATAGAAAAAAACCTTTTCAGTTACAATGACAAAGATATAGATTATTCTGCTCTATCCCACAGCCTTCTATTTTCAAATTCAGTTTCAACCCTTTACTTCATAATAGTATCTGAGTATGATTCGTTATTAACTGTGACTGCAGCAATCAGCAGTCCTAAACACAGGGCTGGGACCTGTTAACTCTGTACAGCTCACTGCTGTACAGAGAAGCTGATGGTTACAACTTCAAGAGCTTTCTAGGCCACAAGTGCAGAGTGGGAGTGTACCCTGAAGGAAAGCAGACTCATGGATGTAATGTAATCCTCCCAGCAATGACATCAAACGATTGATTCAGATTTTTAACTGAAATTACGGATTTTTCAAGTCCATCAGCTGTATGTGTTCAGTGTTGTTCTGGATGATTCCTAGTCAAAGAGATCTGCATGGGTCTGCATTTGGTTCCTGTTTAAAAATTCTGGGCCAAGGACAATCATTCCTGGGTTCTAGGGTTCTCAGCACACACCACAAAGGAAGTCTAACCCATAGCTACAACTCCTAAATATGTTCCAGATACTGAACAGCAACACTGAATACTCAGTCATGACTGTTCAGTCTGTCTATCTCCTCTGGCTTTGTAAATCATGAAATTGGCTCCGCTGGGAGTAAGATCAGGAAGAAGGTTTTTGGAATCTTTCTTAATTTTCTACTGTGATCTCCAGTATTTCCAGCTGGGCTGGAACTATTCCACCAGCAGCTCCTCCTGTGATATTTTGGCATATTTAGTCTTCCTTGGAAAAATTTGGCTTTTAGTCTTTTATGAGCCTGTGGTGACCCAACCCTGAAACAAAGCATCTTCCTGTTCATACTCTCTGCTTCTTCAATGTGTATGTGCCAGAACAGGCCTCCCTCTGCTCAGCTTCTTCCCAGAACTGGCAGAAGAACTGAGCTATAAACCACACTTCACAGATGAGCGTGAACTACACCCATCCTCCTAAGAACAAATCCAAACTCCACGGAGATCCCAGACTAGGTAAGTCTGGCATTATGATTTGCTCTGATCTCTGTCACTATCCAAACAATAGCACTAGACCTTGAAACCTGAAAAGTAAGTGAAATCTCTATCATATCTGCTCAGCTTCTACCAAACCTGAAGTTGGGAATATTTTGATCTTAGAACACATGACAAGAGTGAAGCGTGCCAGTTCCTCCATCCATCCCTTTGCCAAAGAGCAGAGCTGGCAGCAGTGCCTGGGGGCAGAGCACCCAGCGGCTCTGCTGACCTCACCTCCCTTTGCCTGGTGGCTGCTTGAAAGGAACACTGTGTCCATGGTAAAGGGATACTAAAAATGAAACTTGTGCAAAGCACATCACAAGCAGTATTTATAGCCAGGCACCCATTCAGGTGTCCTATCATGTCAGCTACCTGGCAGATTCCTCCTGAGCTTTCTTGTTTCACAGGGCTGACTTTTAAAGTCTTGGTTTGACTCATGTCTGCTACTACTATTAACCTGACAAAAACAAAGGGAATACTCATCTTTTAATTACTGGTGGCAAATTCCTGTTGCTACCTAGCACAGCCTTGCTCCATCTTTGCAAAAAACAAGCATCCTGGGAAATCTAGTTTATGTCGTCTTCATGGGTGGAAGAAAACATGAGGAAGGAGGGACAGATTTGAGGTCAAGGCTGCAAAGAGGGTGTTTAAACAAGTCAAAAGACTGCCAAAAGACATTCTGGATTCTGCCATATCAATAGGATTTCCTGATCCCCAATTCTATGCCATTTTTGGTTGTGAGTCTTACAGCCTTCAAATTAATAATGCAAAAGGCACATGAAAACTACACTTCAAAGTCACAGAATTTTAGTTCCTGTGCACTTCTGTATCTATTTATTATTTTCCTTTTGGCTGCATAATTTTGGGAGGGAAGAAAATATGCTTCAATTACAGGACTGAAATTCATCCAACTTGAGTAACTTTTGCAAACTACAACATAATTCATCAAGCTATTCCAGAAGAGAGGAGCTATGTTACAGCAGATGCAGCATGTCTAAACATTGAAACGACACATGCTTGCTGCCCTGCTGCTCCAGAAATTATAAACCCATATTAAATATACTTCTCCAATGTTCTCCAGAACCTTCCACTGTGCTTCAGTGTTGCAAACATATCTGAAAGTTTGAGTCTGATCCATTATGCTTCCATCATTTAATATCCAACCAGGAGGTTGTAGTTTTTAGCATGGTCTTTAACTTAAGCATGTTTTTCTTGTATAACCACCAGAAGCACTGATGGTGTTTGCAACATTCATTTGCACTCTTTTGTTTTCAAGTACAGATTGACAGCATGCCATTATTTTAGGTTGTAGGGAACTGGAAACACCTGGCAACAACCCCCTAGATAACACAGGATGTGATGGGGTATGCTGCACACAAGCATCCCAGTAGCTCAGTCAGAGCTGGCCAGATTTGTCCTGGTTTTACACAATGCCACTTTCGTGCACTGACTTTCCCCTCGAGGCCTATGCTGTATCTGGGTTGATTTTGCTCATTCACATTTCACCGTGCCTCCTCTTTCAAGCTATTACAGAATAGCAGTGCTGACGCCAGCCCGAGCTTGCAACACTCACACGGTTCTGCTGGATCTGGATAGAGTCCCTCAGATGTCTTTTGTATGCCTGATTATACAAGTCACTGATAACCAGATTGGCTCTGCACAAATTCAGCTGGAGTCAGCCTGGATTTGTGAGCTGGGCAGCCCTCCAAGCAGATGCAGCCTAAGTTTGCCTGGACCAGAGCTTACCCTGGAATTAACATTCACCTGTGCTCCAGCTGAGCCAGAAAGCCTTTGCAGCAGTAGGTACACACACAGCTGTTGAAAACAGGAGAAAGAACCAGTGTGATCTAGTATAATTTGGAACTAGCATATGTCCCCAGTTGACTTTTCCATATGATTTTCCTTCCTTTTCCTTCCCTGCTCCTGCATCTCTTCTAACCACTGCTGTAAGAAACAGCAGTAATGTGTTAAAGATGCTGGCATAGGATTCAAAACACACATTCTTTCTTGGCTGTGTCAGAAAAATGTATGTGACCTCAGGCAATTGAACTTAGTATTTCTGTGCTTTGACTTCTCAGCATTAAAAAAGGAGACAGTAGTGCCTCCCTGGAGCATTCTGAGAAATGTGTTCATGTTATCAGCCTTTCCAAGGGTTCAGTTGTAAGAACCATCTGAGAGCCCAGCATAAATTTCTTTCATGCTTTCTCTCATTCCTGCATCAAAACAGCTCTTCTTGCCTATCAACCTACATCTTTTTCATTATCATCTCTAATACCCAGACGGCAGTGACATCTTCAGTTAATGCATACCAGGTTCCCATCCAGCAGCTCCAGAACTCCAGCAGTCTCTCCCAAAGTATGCTTCTCCCAGCATTTCTGCTCCTCATCTTCAGTGCTTCCCTGTTCCTTGCATTTTAAAATAGGCTTCTACTTTGTTTCCCCTCTGTGAAAATGCCCGATCTGCCTCTGAGTCCTGACACCAAGTCACAGGTGCACCTTAAAGCTTCTCAACGTGTATTTCTTGGTTCTTCACAATTCTCTCAATCCAATCTATGCCTTCTGCTTCCATGAACTTGGCTCCTCCAATCACACCTTTGCCAGTGCTTGTCTTCACATTTGGCGTAATTCCAATAGATGCTTTGTCACTGCTTTATAGGGAATCATCCCATCCCATGAAGATTTTAGAGTGATCCACCAGAAAGAGCACAATTACTTCAGCCAAAGTCCTCTTCTTGTCTCTTGTCCATGCTTTGTCCAGGCCTTCATTCCTAGATGAAATTGTAGGTCTGGGTGTTTTATCACCTGGTCTTTGCTATCCAATATATTCATGTAACTCAAGAACAGAGGTCTCTGCCAGACAATTCAGTATCAAGGCTTTGACTTGTTGGGCATGGTGGCTATGCTCTATGAGGCTCAGATAGCCAGTCACTTCAGTAGCATTCAATAAACACTGATAGTAATAAAGTTACCTCAAAGCTTATTTTGCCACATACCTTTGACAAAGGCACATCTGGGTCCATCTTGTCATGTTCACAGTGTCTAACTCAAGTGTACATAACCAGACACAGTAAGTTTATTGCCTCAGGGTCATCTCCATCATTTCTAGCTCTGTAGTTGAGACACACAGTCACAGTGATCTGTCTGGGCTACAATCAAAAGTACAACTACTGCCTGGAAAATGTCAGCTTTCTGATGTTCCTCTGTCCAAGGAATAATCCTGTGGCAGTCTTCAGACACGTACCACTGTGAATCCCAGCACCTCTTGATGAACAGTAAAGCCAGAAGGTGTCTCTTCAGAGGTTTCAAGCAGGTTCAGGTTCAGTTAGCCCAAAGAGACTACAGGGATCTTTCAGACTTGTAATAAACACTACAAAGAAAAACATTTGCAACACTGTGAAGTTGCTTCCTGTTGTTCTAACTTCTGGAAATGCTCGTGTTGAAAAAAGACCTTTTTCACAGGCCAGGTTTCTGTGCAGACAGCTGGGAATACAGTGAAGTCACAGTTTCAGTTCACAAGCTCCCAAGGACCACACCACCAGTAAGAACTTGGTGAGCTGTGAAGCCAGAGTAAAAGGCAGAATAAACACCTCACTGCAGGCACCATGTCAGAGTGAGGGCTGAGGAGAGGTTGGGCATTTTTTAAACACAATCTTGTCTAAAAGGGTGGATGCTGCTGTTCAGCTATGTTGGAATCACCCAACTGGAAGTATCTGCATCACATCACCACTGGGTAACACAAGGGTTATATGAAATAATATGAGCAAGTACATTCCTTGCTGGTAGCAATCACTCCACAGCTGTTCTTAGAATTCTCTAAGTCTTCCTTGTGATCTGACCTTTCTCAAAACTGGAGCTGTTTGCAAACTTAAAGAGAAATTTTGGTTTCAACCTTTCCAGGAGTTGAGTTCCAGGCCTAGATTTTTTCTTGGCAAGTCTGTAATCTGAGTTTAGGCCTGCCTCTGCTTTCCATACTTGCAAAGCTTCCTGCAAAGCAGACATTCTGTATCATAATGCACTATGTCTTGTTTTCATACCACCCTGAAATTCCAGTGAGAGACTGTGCTGTCCCACTGTATTCCAGTCATTACCCTACTTGACACCTCCAAAGAGTCTGGCATTTTGGGAGGTGGGGGAGTACCTTTAAATGCCTTGTCATCTCAGGATGCATTTAGTGACTGCGTCCCATATGCTGCTGTAACAATGTTATGGCTAAGTGGCAATCATGAGTTTGACCCCCCCATACCAACATAACTCTCATGCCCAATAGACCATACTCACAGATTAACTCCTCTATTCTATCACCCAGAGCTGGTGCAATTCACTGAACTTACTTACATGAAAGCAAAATCTGTTAATAATTAACTTAGATGCTTCAGACATCTGCCTAGCTCTAGGGGATACAGTATAAATAAAATCTTTTCTCTTCAAGTGGACAGTTGATCCCAAGAACATCTCCAGGGATCTGGCCTGCCTTTTTGTTTTGCTCTTCTGTCCAACATGCATTCCACCAGATCTTCTTCCACTCAAGGTTCAAATCAGCCAGATCTGGCAAGGTTCCAGGCATCTCTGAACCCTACTCAGAAGAAACCCTTATCAGTTTTCTTCATATTACTCTCCCAGCAGGTGTATTTCATACACACCTGGCAGATAATTTCTAAATATCACTTTGACCACTCTATGTTTTGCACTGCAGAATTTGGACTGTCTGTTCCAAAGAGTAAATTCATGCCTGGTGCATTAATTTCACTGGAGTCAGCTGCAGGGACTAACTTAACTTCCTGCTAATTGATTACACATTCAGGGTCACAGCGGTTCCTGCATCCCTGCTGCCAGGGGCGCTGGAGACACGTGGGGGTGTCACAACACACTGTTCTTACCAAACGCTTTGGCGACATCTCCTGGGCAGTTGCATCCTCCGTCCTGCACAAAGAAAAGACGACAGTGAGCGGCAGCGAGGTCACTCAGCGACCCAGTGAGCACTGGAGCTCTGTGACCTGCAGCACTGTGGCCCCTGCTCAGGAACAGCATGTCAAGACAGCTGGTTGTGCACTTGGGATGTATCATCTTCGCTATGTTTTCACAGAATCCAAATAATCCTTTTTACTGCTTACTTCCTTGAGGCTCACCTACTCTACTGTACAGTCTACTGATAATACCACTGGTTACAGCAGCAATGCAAATTCTTGACTGCAAGTTTCCAAATCCCACAAATCAGAAAACAAAACCTCCTCTGATGATCTGAATCATCCCCTGCCATTTTAATGTAAGGCTGTGTGATGCAGAGGTACCACAAACCTCTACCTTAAACCACCAAAGACATTTAAAAACAATTTCTCAGCAGTTTACAAAAAGGTCACAGTGGGAGGGAAGAGCGACTATAGCATCAGTTATGTAGGATTTTCATCTGATAATCTCTAACAAACACAGTTAATACAATTTTTGGTAAGTGAAAATGAGCCTCTCATCCTACTCCTTACTGTTTGCTATGGTCTTGGTAAGGAAGCAACAGCACTCTGGACCTTTAGCATTTTAGACCTACACATTTCAGTTTCAGTGCAATGCAGCAGCTGATGAAGGGGGTTCAGCTGAGGGGAGGGAGGTTGTGTATGAGTGAAAGAGCTGTAAAAAAGGAATGGCACACAGCAGAGCTCATCATGTGCTATGGTTCTTTAGAATTTGTAAAGATCTGAGCACCAGATGAAAGATCCTTTAGTCTACACAGTCATTGTACCAGGAGAGCTCCCCATTCCTTTGATGATCTGGATCCATTGCAGACTGCCAACATCTTTCCTGCTTTTGAAGCTACCCCCAGACTGGCTGGATACCTCATGCTGTTTCACCTCCCTGTTGGCAGAAATGCGTGGCTATGCATGACCTGCGGCCAAGCACAGCCAGACACCCCCTCCATCAGCCCTATTAGAGCTGCCTTTGATGGGCAGCTGCCAGCGGGGCTGTGGGTTAGAAACTCTGCGTGCCCAGAAAAGGATTCAGACACAAACTGAGCAGGTGGATCCAAAAGTGAGTGGCTTTTCAAAGGGCACCCCACTGCAAACAGTGCCTGGTAGAACTTTAAAGGCTTTCATTCCATTTGCTGATAACCTCTAGCACATTATATGCCTTTTGTTGAGTTTAGACACTCTTGCTGTCAGCTCCAGGAATGAGTGCTGGGCTGACAGCTGAATCTCTCTCTCCTTTTAATGGCTCTGCTTGTGCAATTCTTTCTTTTTAACAAGTCTGTCATAGCCTGGAGGAGGGTGTGAGTGCATGCGCATGTGTCAGGGAAGGAAGAGCCACAGTAGAAAGAAGAGTCTAATAAACTTCAAAGAACAGTTTTACGACTTTTACTATCTGAGAGACATTGGCTTTCAGAATGCTCTCTGGTAGGTGGGTTGCAGTCAGTTGTTTTTGGGTGGCTAAGTATCTGACTTTTATAATAAACCCAGTAGTGGCAGCGATGAAGGTTTTATGCTTTCAGAGGTACCATGAGGATGTGGGGGGGCCATACTGTATAACCATTAATCACCGGCTTAAAAAAATACCTCTTTGAATGTTACCAAATTACAAAATGCTGAGCAGCTTAAGAGACTTAAAAGCTCATGGGTTACCATTTAAGATAAAAGGAACTGACAATGATGATTCACAGTCCTTCTTTATCTGTAGATGTCGTCAGTTAAGATTCTTCAATTATTCTTCAGATAAGCAGGTAAATTTAGTGATTCACAGAAAAGGAAACAAAAAGGGAACATACTAAGCAGTTATGTCAGAAGATGCTATATAATATAGCCAGAAGCAGTGAAGCACTTCATTCCACGTGAAAAAACTGGCACTCTGTTTACAAAGTAAGACTGTTCTGCTGCTGCATTGCCTTGGAAGCTTACCCTTGAAATTCAGCTTGTCCCAACAGGGCCCTGGGTCTAGGCTGAAAATGACTTGTAGATGGCTAGGCTTCAGTTACAGAGTTTGCTGCAGGCTCAGCTTCTACCTCAGAACCCTGGGGAAACTTATCTGTAAAAATCTGCCTCTGAATTCAGGAGAACTGGCATAACACCAAGTCAGACTACTGGAAAGGGTTGGTGGTCACAGAACCTGTAGACAGCACAGATTCTGAGTCACGTGGGAGCTAGGAAGGAGGACAGGGGAAAGCAGCTTTCCCAACAGAATTACTTTAATGTGACTGAAGTAATGTTTTTGTCCCCAGTCTTGTTCTCCAGATAGATAAGCCATTTTGCAAAATTTGGTCCAAGCAAGAAAATTTAGACCAAGTAAGAAAAGAAATACAGCATGGAAAACCAGTATACACTGGTTGAACATTTAGTATTATATGCAATTTATAATGAGTTTATAACTATGATTTATGTTTCAAGCAACCTTTATAATAAACTGCATAACCAGTACTTTCTACAAAGCACTGTAGCTATCTATTTGCTGCTATCAGCAAATAGATAGCTATTTATTATGCAGGAGATATATAAAGTATGTGGCACGTACAGCAGTAAAAACAATACATATGGTGCTTTATTCTGAACTATATACCAGGTATGTTTCTGTGTGGAAAGTGTCTTGTGTGGAAAAAGGGACAGTACGGCAGTAGCTGGATGAAGAAGCCCTTAGTCATTCTTTTCACTGAATGCTGGTGACCTATCACCCAGGCAAGGAGAAGGGGAAACAGGGATCTCTGTCAAATGACAGCCACATGAGAGAGGACACATGCAGGGCTGCTTTCCATTCCCCACATTGCTGGCTTACTAGAATATGTGACTGCCTCTGTCCAGCAGAGGAGTTCTCTGACCTAGAAGAAACATCTCCAGCAGGTCCACTCCACTGTAACTCACTGCAGCACTTTTTCAAGGACAAGGGATTAGCAAGAATGAAAACTGAGACTACTGGCTCCCAGACAAACAGCACGGGACAGAAACCATGCCTGTATCTCATAGAGGGTTTCCTCTCTGCTTTCAGTGAGTCATGAAAGATTCATTTCTGAGGTGAGCTTTTAGTCTTACAGATAATTTAGCATGAGGAAAGTAACTGGTGCAATTTTATCTCCTACTTCTCTGCGTAAATGACTAGACAGACACCAGGTGTTCTCTTGGACTATAATGTTTGCCTGAAAATTGTCACCTTCCCTGTCAACGAATCAGTTCCAAAAATCATACAAGATAACTTCAGTAATAGGACCTGAAAATCCCAGTTTGTGCTCCCATTCTAGCAGAGCTCCTGACGATCAGGGTTCAGTCATGCTGTGTTCTCTGTAGTGCCTACACTGTGCTCGGCACCATCACTTCCTCATTCTGAGAGTGCGACTTCTTTCCTTCATATGGAAATTGTACCAACATAACAAGAATGAGGAGTTAATTTGATGAAGGTACTGGACAAAACAGAAGTGGATACAAGAAAGTACCCCAAGGGAGTAACCCATATCACACCATTAGCTACAATATACATGAAGCTAGCTGGTAGGCTTTGAATCTTTTTTCACATCCTTTCTGCTACTTTCATATCAACATAACAAAAACTGCTGGACACATTTTCTCCTGGGGAATTGACATAGATAGCTGTGGTGATACTCTGCCTGTAGGGATTTTTTTTTTGGCTCAGGTAGGGTGTGCCCCTTCTTCTATCCGCAGAAAGACAGCAGAAAGACATTTTGAGGGATGCCATGTATACTTGTTGCCACCAGACCCAATTCTATACTTAGAATTGCTGCCATATGGTGTTTTTCTGTCATGAGGATACCTCTCTTCCATGATATTCTTGCCAGAGCTCTGGCAACAACCATGCAGTCCAACCTTTTCTTTCCCTAATAAATACACCAATACCCATCTGAATGCTCCAGAAATCAGGCATACTGTCCTTACCCTTGCTTTATTCTTCTTAGATTAGGTGACAGAGTTGAGCTGAAGTGATGTGAGAGACCCCAACTGCAGCTGAAGGTATTTCTCTTGGCCCAGATGTTGGTAGCAGACAAGTATCAAATTGCCCTCCTATATTCCCCCACAGTGGGCTGATAGATGTGGGATCACTGAAACCTGAGCAAGTCAAGAACTGATCCATTCCCAAAGCAGGAAAGGAGATACAGTACAGAAGCATCTAATTTTTCAACAGTCTGAATACACATTCCCTGTTTTCTTGTAAAATCAGGATAACAGCATTCTTCTGAGGGCTGCTAGCAGAAAATTGTTATTGCAAAACTGGGATGGATCTTTGAGCACCACTGCCATGATGACACCTGTACTTATCCAGCCTTCACAGTAATGAGTGAGGCGTTCAAGCTCTATTGCACATGTTCTACTGTTTGTTATAGACAGAAACATTTGCAATACTGCCCAAGTCACAAAAGTTACAGACTGCTCCTCTTTTTTTCTGCAAAATTCATATAGAGGAGCCATAGAGAGGAGGGACTGCATATTCATTAACATAAAGAGTAAGAGAGATCTGACTGTAACACGTTCCTGCTCCATTATACTCCATGAGATCCAGTAAAACCCTTTACCCATCCCAAATCAGTTTGTTTTCCTCTCACGTCCCTCCTCAACAACGCAACACAACACTCCTTCCTCCCATGGATACTAGTCCCAAGAGGGTAGAAGAAACCAGGGCCTTCCAGTGATTTCACTTGGCAGTAGAACTAAAATCCCATGTGTGGTATCTCCTGGAGTAGCAGAGAGAGGCTGCTGGCTGTGAGCACAGCACACAGGTGAGCCCCTGCGGCCTCCCCATGAGCAGCTGCCTCACAGGCAGCCTGCAGAGGCTGTGCCAGCCTGACACGGCCAGGACACACCGACTGCCTGTGTGTGCCCAAACACACAGGGTGCTGCAGACTGCACTCCAGCTCAGTCTGGGGCCATGCTTACCAATTTACTTTCTCTCTGTGAGGTGAATCTGGTCTTGCTGACAAGAGTGGAAACTGTCATTAGCAGGCAATACAGAGAGATGCTCTTTTTCCTCCACAGGCTTGTTATTTCCCCAGAGTTTAGTGAGAATGTAAGTGGCTCACGTGCCAGCTGTGCTCAAAAGAACCACGTCAAACACTCCTGACCCTGAGCAGAGAGCTTTGTGAGGATGCTCTCAGAATCAATCTGACCAGAGGACAGATGGGCTCACATCATTTTACCTTGTACTCCCTTCTACTGCCTGCCTGTCCCCCAGTCACACTCTGAAGAAAGTCATGCTTACATTCCACTCTTTTTTCAGAAGTCTTTCATAGGAATTACTGTTTGCTTCAATAATGAAAAAACTAGCAAGCTTCCTATTCTGTTTACATAACAGCCTATTCCACTAAGGAAGAAGCAGATTTCAAAAGGCATAAACAGGAGTGAGGTGCCCACATTTTTTAATGTTAGGGAGCTGATTTCTTTACATGTGGATCTCCACTGACTGTTCTAGGAACTAATACAGGAGTCAACTGGGGATGACAGAAGGACAGGCTTTAACATGCAGGGTACTAGACTGTGATTCTCCTGTTCCACAACGATTTATACAGTGGGAATCTGAGAGTGGATGATAGTTACTTACAGAGATGATATGTCCTTTCAAGCCATGTGCTGAGTCTGCACACTCAATAACAGCACTTAGCTGTGGATAGCCCACCCCTGTCTTAATCCGAGTGGTACACACAGAACCTAGACAAGAGAACGAGAGGAATAAACATCAGGATGACAGAAATGACACAAAAAAAAAAGTGTTTCTTTCAGCATTATTTTTCTCCCAAGAAGTCTCTATTGCCAAAGCTGGCTTCTCACAGATAAAAGGAGCACACAGGAACTTGAGTTCTGAAATGCTCCCATACCACTTCATGGGAGCTGTGGCTGAGGAGACTAATGTCCCCCCTTTCTTCTCCAGGGCTAGTCCCAGTTTAGTTCTCATCAGTAATGCTTCTCAGTTGGGGAATTACTGCATCACAAGAAAGCAAATCTGACTGAGGTGCCTGAAGTGAAGGGACAAAAGGACCAGAATCATAACCTGTGAGACTCAGCAGTAAGCATTACCTGATTATTTATTCTAATAAATATTTCTATCTCTTTTCTGCATGTTTAAAGAAGTAATTCTCTGATAAAATTTGTGATTTTTTGGTAACAATTTTCCCATCTTTTGTTTAATACTGAAGGCAGGAATATCTGGCTGATGGCAATTTTGGGGAATATAAAAAATCAGCACATAGCCATTTAAAAAGTGTGATAAGTAATCAGAAAGCTGTACAGTACAACAACAAGGGAAATATAGGAACTATATCTACTCATTGAATGATATTATTTATACCCATACATTGTGCATGCATGTACGTATAGATAAAAATAAAAGTATGTGTATATCTTTATCTATCTATCTATATATAACATATTATACATATATAAAAAAACAATTTACTTAGAGTTCAATATAGCAACATGGCTATAGACCTATTGGAATACCTTCTCTATTTTGTTCTCAAATTAAGAGTCAAAATGAGGACTATTTTTTGCCAGTCTGGGTCCTATAATTTAGGATACAGACCTAAAAGGTCTGCATAATAAGAGAATTTCAAAACAGATTCTAAACCAAAATGCAGTGAAATCTGAATCCCTTCGCTCAGCTGATATCCAGGTATACTCGAGCTACCAGTAAAGCAAAAGTTACCAAAGATCCTTCAAAGAACTGACAAAGTGAAAACACCAAGAAGAATTCTTGCAAAATAGTAAGTTAGTTTTAATGTTATTTCCACAGGGCTTGTACTGCATAGTGTATGTAATGCTTTATAATAAATCACTGCCATTTTTCACAAGATGGATCATTATCTGGGAAAGAGCCTCAAGACCTGAGGGAGAAACATTTGTTACTTGTGGATTTGCATGGTCATCTTGTACACATCTGTTCGGTAAGATCTCCAGGGAGGACTATACAGCATTTACCTGTATTTCCATGTTTGAGGCTACAAACTATAATTATTCTTCTTTTAAATCTGAATTTGCCCATGACAATTATACCATGAAATCGCTGTTGTTGATTCTTATGTATTTTGCAGTATTTATTGTTTGATATCTTCCTGGGCACAACTGCAATGTTTATTACATCCTTTTCTCTGCTCCAGTTATCCATTCATGGACCGTAACTATCTGGCACTGCAGAGTAAACAACCTGCTTGCACTGCACTGGCTGATCACAGCTATACTGTCAGTGGCATTTGTGTTAGCCACTTTAAAATCTAGCAAATCTAGTCACATATGGTGACTCCAGCTGCAGTCTAAGAAGAAAATAGCAAAAGAAGGAACATGTGAAGGAAGGCACAAGGAAGGGGGGAAAAAAAAAGATTATGACAGTGTATGCCAGACAACATTAGAGAAGGGAAGACAGGGAAAACACTGTAAGAAGGTCAGGGTTCTCTTGTTTATCCATGGAAATGTTAGTGATAGATAGCATGTAAGTACATTAGTGTAAATTTTAGCTCCCAGGCAATAGTAACAGGTAGAGGCAAAGTTATCCGTATTTCACAATTTACACCATTTCATCTTTGAAGACATTGACAGGGATAACCTCAGCTTCACAGAACACAAATCATAAAGCTACTCAGAAACCCATCTTTCCTTGGCAGAGGTGGACACCTGGACACAGTATCCTTTGAGCTTTAGCTAGGATGACTCATCCTCTTTTCAACAGGCTAGAAAAGTGTTCCCAAACACAACACATGTTACCAGTGATAATGTCAGGAACCCAGGCAGCCCAGTGCTTCCAGTAACAACTATCTTCACTGACTGAAGGTGCAATACTCAACACTGTTCATTACAAGACACTGGCACCCAGTGTGCGTATTTCTTAAACACTGTGTGCAAGTTCACTGGTACTTTATTGACCTGAGTGGGTCTTGGCATCCTAACAGGCAAGGAAACAGCATTATATACTTGTTCCATCTGGACAACTCCTCTGTCCTCCACCAATGGTACCAAAAGCCACCCTTGACTTACCTGGTCCAATACCCACTTTAATAATATCTGCTCCAGAAATAATAAGTTCTTCTACCATCTCTCCTGTCACCACATTGCCTGCCTAGAAAGAAAGAACAGTATCACATGTACAGGAGATTTCAAGACTACTTTACTAAAGACTAAAAATGATAATGTAAAGTTTGATCCAGAGCTTTTAGAAGTTGAACTATGCAGAGTATGGAAGAATATAGTTTACCATACTGTTCCTTGGACATGCCACCAAAACTAAAACAGTTGTACAGGTAAATTCTCGAGTCAAATGAATTTAACAAGTAGTCCAGTAAACCCTGATCCTTAGCATTCCATTAGGAGATCTGCTTTATCATCCATCCCCGCTAATCCTCACCCAGAGGTTCTCAATCACATCATCCCTAACCACAGGGACTATTCTTCTCTCTTACATACAGTGAACTCCTCCACCTCTCCTGCCCTACCTATCTCTCCATGCCTTTTGCCTAACTCCCTTTGCAGGAAGAAGTTTAGATCTTGTTTAAAATACTGGAAAATACATTTTTCTTTAGGATTCAGTTTTTGCCCACTGAGAGTAAGGTACTATTCCTCTAATTTTGTGCAGGAAAATACATTTTTCTTTAGGATTCAGTTTTTGCCCACTGAGAGTAAGGTACTATTCCTCTAATTTTTCCTGGTGCCAAAATTGGTATGCATATACAGATGATATAAATCTGAGCATTCACACCATATACATACATTTGGTTGTGGTCATGCCACTGGTTAAAAACAGGGGTTTGGTTTCCTCTGCATGACCTTTGCAGAGATATAGCAAGCATGCTGTTTAGGGTAACATCTTCTTTGAAAGAAATTCTGAATTGGTTTGTGTTCTTTACCACATTTTTTCTTGCACTTCAATAGCTCTTTTCCTCCTTTTGCCTACATCGTTATGTTTGCTGAAAGTGAAGACAGCTCTCTCAGCCTTTGTCTTGCTTCTTCTAGAAAACTTCTTCTATCGGCTCTCTACATCCCTAATCAATTGCTTAATATTTGTTTGCCTTATACCAGACTTCCTTGAAGTCATACCAGACAGATCTTTCTTGAACCTGAGGAATGAGAACTATCCACAGTGGTACAGGTGAGTTCTCACCAAGGCTTTGCACAACACTTGTCTTTTCTATGGAAATATCTTGCCTGACACAGAAGAATGCATTTGCCTGGGTCACACTGGTGGCTCACAGTCACCTTGTGATCTACTCATGCCTCCAGGAACATTTACCTACTCAAAATTGTAACAGAAAATTGTAGAACTCCCCCTGATACTGTGCTACCTATTCCTAGAGTAACGTTTTTCACGTGTGGTTTATTGAGGTGGGGGGCCCTCTTCTGTCAGAGCCTCAGCTGGGTATGTGGCCTGTAGTAACATACCATGAGATACAGATTTTTCTGCTTCATGGATGCTGTGAATGCAGAGAATGCCAGTGAAATTACTGATACTTTTAATAAAAGAAACCACAAAACAACCTTCCAGCACACACTTGGTAATTGGTTTGCAAAACTGGTGAAGTGCAGAGAGCTGCCAGTCTATTTCTATTCTGTTAAAGAGACATTTTGATGCAAGTCCAGTGTGACAAGACAGGCTCATGCATGTGTCCAACTGTGCATCTGACGGATCAACAGAGTGAGGCTAGAGATTAATACCCTTGCCAGGAGTGTCCTCTGTCCAGATGATTTTCAGGGAAAAGACAGTCTTCAAAGAGCAAAGATTTCAAATGACATTTGAATCCTATTCAAAGGAGATTTATGAGCTAAAACCTATGCTGTGAGTTACATTTGAAAACAAACTGTTAGCCAGTGCATTTTCAGACCACGCTTTCCTCTCTGCAAAGGGCTGCACAAAGCAAACGAATGCTGACATAGCACACACTGAACTGACTCACTACAGCTCTACTAACTGCATTCCCATAGTCAGAGGGAAAATTGTACAGGAATGCGATTCTATAGATTGCAGCCCACAATTTAAGAAGGATGCAAAGATCTTTGAATGTGCCAGAAGAAGGTAGGAAAGCTGGTGCGACTGAAAGGCAGGTACTGTGGGAAGTGGCCACGGCACTGGGTTCATCTAGCTTGGAGAGAAGGTGGCCAAGGGGTGACCTCATTGCTCACTACAGCTTCCTGAGAAGGGGAGGTGGAGAGGGAGGTGATGAGTTCGCCCTGGGATCCAGTGACAGGATGCATATGAATGGCTCAAAGCTGTGTCCCTCAGGGAGGTTCAGACAAGACATGAATAATCAGTTCTTCAGCAAGAGGGTGGACAAACCCTGGAACAGGCTTCCTACAGAGGTGGCCAATGCCCCACGCCTTTGTGTTTAGTTTCCCAGGTCTTCCCTCACACCCCTCTTGTAAACCGGAATAACACCGTTACACCTTCTGTCATCAGGAACCTCCCCACACTCCCAAGACCTTTGATAGGTGATGAGAGAGGTCCTGCTCTAACATTTACTAGCTCCTTTAGTACTCTTGGACAATTACAAACCAAGTTTGATTTGTATCTCAGCTCTGTGGCTTGTCTCATGTCTACAGAACATTCCTAACCAAGAAAACTGCACAAGATAAACCTCCAGTTTTCCACATAACCTGTTTTGCACTTGTACTAAGGACAAGCTATTAATTTCTAGAGATCTGAATTTAGATCTAGAGATGTTCAGAAAACCTCTTACATAATGATACTGCATGACTTAGTAAGTGTTTGTAGCAGCACTGATACAGGCAGAGGACAAGGCAAATTCTGAAGTCCTTACTTAGTATAGCTTTTATTCAAATGTAACTACTGCTGAAGTCAGCAGAAGGGTACTCAGGGAATACTGGGCAAGGCCTGTTCTCTACTTACTGATTTCTGACTCCTATTTCACAATTTATTTATTTTTACTGAATTTTGCTTCCTCCTTTTATTAGCTTGAAACAGCTGACAAGCCACCACCTGAAGCACTTATAAAAACAAAGACAATATCAAGCAGCAATTTGTGGTCTATGATACAGGACCACTTAACTCTGCTCAAAAGAGCATGATATTGATTAAAAATAAAATAAAATAGAACAATCAGGAAATAAAGAATATATAATAGGTACAGTGTTCCAGCTAAGTGCTGCTTCCTTACTGCTCAGTGGTAATTTGTTATACTAAGTGCTGTACATTCCAAGGTGGGGTGATGGAGAGTGTGCCACTGAAGACATGCAGTTTACCTCTGGAAGGCAGATGACCACCTGTGCTGTATGACACACACCACAGTACAACTTGGTGAAATACTGGAATACATTCAAAAGTTTCATAAATAGGAAGGAGCAAGTATTCAAGTCAGTAGTTGCATGAGATTTGGGATCTAATATGTATTTAACTTAAACAGAAGTGTCTTCTTATTAGCAGAGCACAGAGGGTTGTCAAACTGTCTCTTCAGAAATGTTAACCAGACGTTTACTGTTAAGTTACTGCTAGAAAATGTTGGAACTGCATATGTTGGTTCAAAATGCTCATCCTAGCAGGGAAAAGCACTTATGTCCCCAGAATACATTTTTTCCTGGAATGCAAGTACACACATCACGGCTTTCTGTCTTTCTGAATCTGCAGATCCTTAACAAATTTTCAAGGACGATGTGGAACTCTACATAGCACACTTCAACCTGCCAATAAGAGGCTTGCTTCTTTTAGGTATTTTTTGCAGACCTCAGAGAGCACAAAAAAAAAAAAAAAAAAAAAAAAACCACTATGAGAGAGGCAGAGTTATCTGTATGTGAAAAAACCCCAGTATGACAGCTGAAGGGAAATCAGTTTACTCACATTCAGCTGAACTCTGCTTTACTGAAACCAATGCTTGCCTTACCACTGATACCAGTATGAGAGGTGAATTGAGGCAAAAGGGCTTTTGAAGTAACCACTGGTATGGTAAAGCCAGAATACTTCAACTTAAAAAAAAATATCTGAAAAGATCAATATAGAAAGACTGAGACTACAGAAATTAAACCCTCTTAAGATTAACTTAAAAGAATAGAACACAATTGGAATGTGTACTGTGAAGTCACTACAGACAATACACTGTGTAGCGTGTTTACACAAGTAGTCAGGGAACAAAGCAATTGGTGCAAGTATTGTGATGTACCATCACTCAGTATGAGGTTTCAAGTGAACACCACCCCGGGTCATTCCAGCACTATCCAGGATGACTGAACTGTGGGTAAGTCCTGAGAAAAATCCTGGCCTCAGAAAAGCCAAAGGGAGTTTCCCTACTGACTTTAATGAGATCAAGATTTTACCTAACAGGATTATAAAGACTACGGCTTCTCTGACAGATACAAAATTAGTGAACACATAGGGCAGTGCCTCTGAATTTCAGTCAGGCATTTGATACTGTGCCTCATGAAAGCCTGCTATAAATATCAACTCATACTGCCTAAGACAGGAACACTGCTGCACTGATTGAAAGCTGCTGGCAAATGGCAATGGATCGAGCTGGGGAGAAGTGTCTATGACAACAGTTCTCAAACTTTCTTCTTGTATCCTAGAGGAAAGCACAGTCTGTGCCTCCACATTATCAGGAAGACGGCCAAAGGACACTTCCCACCCACGAAAGTAAGGGGTGCTGAACCATGAGATGGAGATGCCCTTTGCAAGGCTGAGCCATACCCAGTGGGAGCTTGTACTCAGTACTGTGCCTGACCTGAGGCAGGCTCAGCAGCATCACTCTCTCCTATCCTAGGATCCTGCCTGGCCCCTGTTCTCAGACACCAGCCCATACTCTGGTGTGTGTTCCAGGGATGAACTGGGAGTAGTCTGCATGGCTTTCTCTGATTGAATCTTGCCTTCATTCTGCCTCCAAGGCCCAGAAAAGTTCTGCTACTGACTCCAAGGAGGAGCAACAATTTCTGGCTCCTGCTGTTTCTCTCTGCTTCTGCTTTGCAATTCCGCTTGCCTCCTTCTCTGGCCCACGTCTTATGGGCTACTGTATCTCCAAGTGTGCTCCTGCCTCAGTCTTCTTCCTGCCACACTCCCTGCTCCCCTCAGGGTTGCTCTTCTATAACAAACAGAGGAATAGCATGAAAAGAGAAATTCAGGATAAAAACTTGGCAAAGCTTGCAGGCAAAGATAACTTAGCTTGTAAAAAGACTTTCAGAGTGATGGAATAACCCTAAAGTCTAAAATTAAACTAATAAATAAGGACTATGCAACCTGTAATCTAAAGGCTCTGATCCTCCATCATGAATGCTGACTGAAGGTTTTCTTTAGACTTGAGCAAGCAAGCACAATTGATGCACATAATGCTGCACAACAGCAAAACACCCCAATGGGTGATCCTCCTCAGGATCTTCCTGGTTTTGGGAGGCACTTGTGGGACACTCAGAAGACTTAAATATTCCTTCTTCCCCCATTCCCAACCTGATGAGTGATTTAAGACAAGTCACGCTGTTGTTTGTGCCCTGTTTGTCTTCCCTACCCTTTGTGTTCCATGGAGAAACTGATCTTCTTTGTAAATTAATACAAAATGCAGTGAAAAAACCTTGTGTCATCTTCTTCAGGCAGAAGAAAATAAGGTAATGTGATTATAAAAGAAAGTATTTAAAAAGACAGAAACATGGATTTGAAAGGTTTTTACTCAAGAGATATCCTTGATCTGCAGGGGAGTACTACATTAACCACAGCCGCTTTGCACATCCCCTTTCAGCCTCAGAGCTGAACCCATGACATGGCTCCTGGGAACACACATTCCCTAAGATCCAGGGTTGGGTTACTGTTATGTATTGCACTGCAGCTGACTGTGGAATGAATAGTCATGCTGAGGAAAGCAAACAAGGTCCTGGAGATCACTTTCAGCTATGAGAAAGCTTCTTTATTTTTATACCTCCTATTTAACTGCTAGCCCTTTTGTTTGAAAGCCCCAACAGCAGAGAACATACTGCAGGCACAGCACAGACACACCAAAGCAGTCAGAACAGGTAGCAGCAGGACATGTCTTCCAGATTACCATTAAAAGGAGCCTAGACCAGCTCCTGCATTTCAGCCAGGAACAGCTTCAAAAGGCCATTTTGGCACAGAACGTGAAGTAATTTGGAAGCAGGGTAGAGGTGGGTGTCTAGTTGAATCAGAGACATTCAGGGACTGAACAGACTCTGGAGGCTCTGAAAAACTGAAGGTTTTTAAACACCCCAAGTTTGTTAGCATGCTTTTAGGAGTGGGAATTATTGCTGTGCAGAGAAGAAAAACATAAGCCATATTAAGCCACATTCAGATAAAGGAGCTACAATCAGAGAAGGCAACTGAACAGGTCAGGGCTGTAAATGTGCTCAAGCAAGTGGTGCTGTCAGGACAATGAGTCCTGAAGTAACAATAACCTTAGCTATAAAAGCAGAGATACTACGAAGGCAGCTGAACAGATGTGGAAGGTGGATGAGACTGGCCTAAGAATCCTAGACAAAAATCTGGTCTTGATATCTGACTTTGACATTGACCTTCTCTGCCTTCTGGGGAATTCATCTTGGTTGAGTTCCCTCCTCAGTCAGCAAAGTCAGCAATCTGTGGGGAGGTGGAGGAGGGCATGACACACAATTTTCTTTCCACTCCTGACAGAGATAATCTTTGGCTTTAACTATGTCCTTTAAGCTCCCTCACACAACTCTTCCAAGACAAAGACACTGGAGTAATCATGTCACTAGGGACAATACTTCACACCCAAAGCAAGGAAACAGCTTCTTCCCTCACTGCAGTGAACATGAAGCAGAGAGCTCAGAAGGCCCACATTTATCATTTCATAGTTCCAAAATCTCTCTCTCCAAAGCCATAGGAAATATGACTATATCAAAATGGCTCCCACCTCTCCTGGCAGCTGTTGAAGAATGCCTATTCATCAGCCTATGATAACCCAGAATCCAACAAGCATTTCAGCTCCCTTCAGTTTTCCATCATTCCAAAGCAAAAACACAGCCTTCCTCTGACATGGGAGAAAGGAATGCATCATCTTCTGAGCTGCCTGAACTTGTTATTCTCTATTGAACCAAGGGAGAATGCACATTTAGGAACACTCTTACTTCACACTTACTTTACATGTATTAAGCTTTATCTTTGGCATGGGAAAGCAGGCAAGTGATTTCTAAACACATGATTTTTTGCTGCACTGGCTTGCAGAAAGGCTGATAACCTCATTACTGATCTGCTGCTTGTTAGAGGATTTCTGCTATTCTCACGGAAACAATTCAGACACATTTCTTCAAGAGCCCTGGTAAAGCAGCAGTAGTGCTCTTCTGACAAGAGTTCCACGTCCATGTAAACACCCTATTTTTGGTGCAAAAGGGCTCAAGGAAGCATGGGATTAGCACTCTAAGATGGGATAGTAACATCACAGAAAGCGCTGTGAAAAGCCCCATCACTGACCATTGTGCTCCCTGATTATGCTGCTCACAACTGCCCAACATCCCTCTCATTCTTATCACGGACAAGGATCAGTCTGCATTGATCTGTCTTCATAGTGATCTAATAATCATTGGCCCCAGCTAGCCAGAAATGTTGGCACATTCCCACAGCGAACCTCTGCTTAGAATCATCAAAATAAACCTATACACTTAACAATTAGAGGTCTCATCTAGTGCGGAAGGGGGACATGAGTAGGAAAAGAACTGGATCCACCCAGTCCTCCATGCCAACCTAGTCAGACAGCTGTATCAGATCACACATTAAACATTCCCACAGACATCATCAGCAATGGACGGACAATACCAAACTATTATTAAACACCTTCCTTGCTTCCCTTCCTTTTCTAGCTTCTGATGCCTACCAGTCAAACTGTGGGTCCTGTTCCAACTTAGAATTCACACACACACACACACACACACACCCTCCACCCTTTCTACACACTTACCATAATGGTGTGATGTGGGAACAGGGCACGGACGGACTTCACAAACTCCACAAAATACTCTGAATATCCATTTGCCACATCCAGGCAGATGTATTTGATAGCTGGAATGGCCTCTAGAATACTTGTTAACTTTTTCAAATCATCTTGTCCACTACCTGAGCTTGCTGCTACATGCTAAAAAAACAGAGAGAACAAAACAGAGTAGTAGGTTGCAAAAACTGAAATAAACACACACAATTTGTGTGTCTTTTCCTGCATAGTCTTGGCAGGACTTGTGCTGGTAACTAGTGAAAAATCACACTATGTAACATGAAATAAATACCTTCCTGGGAAAATCAGTGGGCTATTTCTGTCTAGTTTAAATTATATAAAAGAGAGGGAAATTAGCTTTCTAGCATTCATTCACAAGTGGATTGTCACAGGCATATATAATCATCTGAGATCAATCAAGGTTCAGCCATACTCATATTAACATGAACACAGATGAAGCCCTAACTTGGTATATTTCCAGGAAGTTAGGCAAAATTTGGGGCACTGTCAGAGAGTAAAATCTGAGTCTTTAAGTTCACCAGGCACTCCTGTGATCTACAGAATCACAGAATAATTTTGTTGGGAAGGGTCCTCTGGAGGTTTTATAGTCTAATCCCTTTTCTCAAGCAAGGTCAGCTACCACTGAAAATAAGCAGATTGCTTCTTTCTTTGTCTTCCAACAAATTCTTTCCAAAAGAAAAATAGTTTCCACAGCTGTTGGCCTATGAAACCTCTGCAGAAATCCAAGGTCACTGTGCAACTCAGTATTTAATCGCTACATGAATAGGAGATCCTATTCCACTCATTATGTACCACAAATAAGCTTAGTTTGGAAGTGTTCAGACACAGGACATTCCTGGGACCACTTTCAACCCCAGGGTGGCATGTAAGTAATCCTGACTGGCAGAAGTGCTAGGCTCACTTTCAGACAACTCTGTAATCAATAGCCTTTATAATATAATTCTGAAATGTGCCACAGGTAAAGATACAATACAGCAATGTGGTATTCTTTTCCATACAGAGAAAGATCAAAAACTGCATTGAACTTTGAGTAGGAAGGGGAGATGCCCAGGCACACTTACAGTGCCTCTACTGGTACAGGGGCCTGCCAGAAGAAAAGAAGCCTGAATGTGAGAAAGTCACAAATTAAGTCAATGTTTAAATCTATTAAATACAATGGCTCAGGCTACGACCCTGTGAACAAGTGGGATAGCACAGCCAGGAATAGCACAAAGTGAGCTCTGGTGCAAGAAGGTAAGTGGAGGACATACAAACTCTGACAACTTTCAATGCTCATCCCTGCCTGGGCCCAGCACTTAGGCCCCTCCAGCCTGTAGACTTCAGATCCACTTGCACACCTAATAGCAAACACTTTGCCTGGCACAAGGGTGTGCAGGGCCAGCCTGTGGTTGGGTTACTTGAAATTGTTTACATTGGTGCACTACCACAGCTCCCGACAGCAATAGAAGCATAGCACTCATACCTACTCCTAAGCATTTCCTCCTTGTTAGTTCAGCATACTTCTCTGTTTCCATTCCAGGCATATACAAACTTTGCTTTTTTGCATCTTAATATAAGCACTTTCATAATGGACTCACATTGCTGTTCTTTGAAATCAGGACAAGCCACTTCCCTTGATGAATTTAAGAACAGCAAGTATCTTCATTCTCCAAAACCTCACTTGACAACAGTATTCCCTAGAGACTCCACTGTACGTGAGTTCAGAACAAAGCAATAAACCATAATAATTTACAGTAGAAAAATGTACCTCAAGGCATTCTGGGTGATTGGCAGCAAACAGTTTCCATTCTTCCAGAGAATAATGCTTGTGAATTGCAGTGAACATTGCATGCTAGCAAAAAACCAAGAGAACTGATATTAATGTCTGAGTTAGTAATTTTTCCCTCAACTGCAAAATAAGGTATTAGAAAACCCCCTTTTAAGTATTGGCTCATCCTGCTTGGAAGAAACAGTAACAGTGAATAACAGACCAGGCAACTACAAACAGTTCTTCAAAAGCAATGTGGCATACTTGGCCAACCTTTCAGGACCAGGTTTATGATATGTTTCATTAAGCTAATGTCAGTATTTTGAATGTGACAGAGGTTCATTAAGTTAGAAAGTGCTGCAGCTCTATCCCATAACCCACACTTTCAAAACTTGTCAGCTAATTTTTTTTTTCCTGGCATGGAGCACAAATGGACCTCAAAAACTAAGCTCTAGAAGCTCCACCTGAAGCTGAGCTACACACAAGATGGATGCTTCCCAGTATAGAAGCATCTCCACAAAAATTTCCTTTTTTTTTTTTTTATTCTGGAGTTTTAAACTCATGTTCCCCTGTTCTCCAACAAACTTAGCTAAGAATCAACAAAGGCTGCTTGCTGTTACCCAGAAGCTTCCCAACTGTTCCTTCTGTTGCAGAAATGAGAGTTGAGACTTACTTTTGCCATAACCACAGCCATTTCAAATGTCCCCACAGTGTCCATGTTTGCCACTATAATGGGAATTCCTGTGTACGTCTGCTTGGAGTTACGGAAGGTGAAGGTGCGCGTGAGGTCAACCTGCAGTGAACAGACATGCATTCTTTTAAGTAACTGATTGTAATCTTACACAAGTTTTGCCACTGATTTCAGATACAACATGTTTAGACACAGCTTCTCCGTTTTTCTCATATTTCCTGTTCCTTTTGTTCCACTATTACATCACTAATTTTTCTTTTTTACAATTCTGACTTCCAAACAAGAAAAAAATTTAAAAGAATGTTTTCTGCATTAAATAGAGCTCTTACTGAAGAAAAATAATCAAAATAAAATCAAAAAGTGAAAAGGAAAAAGGCAGCAGGGCTTGGAAAGAAAGAACAACGAGGAGTCTGGGTTATTGTACACAGAAGTAATCTCAGCTGTCTGTATGGCTGCCTGAGAAACTCAAGTTGAAGTCCTGACTCCAAAAAGTCAGAATTGCAACTCCCTCTGTCTCCAGGGCATAGAGGACTTTGTCCCAATCTTTAAGGTAAATGACCATATAATAAAGTATGCTCTTCTGGTCACAGTTACCAGCACTCTTGCCATACAACATGAACAATCATACCTTGCCCTGCTAAACCAAGAAGCTGCTAGTTTCTAAGTTAATGTCTTAAAAACTGCATCCGCCTTCACCTTCGAAGTTATTTCTTCTTCAGCACCTTCAAATGATCACTGTAACATCAGGCCTTTTTTTCCTTACATCTGCAAGAGGTATCAAGTTAGATCAGCTCCCACTGGCTGACCTAGGACCTTCCTACCTAGGGGAAAAAAGCTCAAAAGGAAAAAAAAAAAAAAAAAAAGAAATGCACAACTCTAAGATATTAGTTTAGTCTCTAGTGAAAATGAAGTCTCTTTCAGTTTTCACTAAACCTCCCTGCAACTTTAACCCAGTAACATTTGGAGACCTGAACTGAACTGAAATCCATCACAAGAAAGAAAGCAACAGAAAAAAACAGGATTTAATATTCAATTAAAACACATTTTGTGCACTTCCAAATTGCAGGCTAGATTCTGATTAATATTGTGAAGGATTTATTACTGATTCATATAAGAGAGAGAACTTGGTGCCTTAGTGATAAACTGTGAATCAGGTTCTCATATAAGCTTGTAAGTGAAGGGTCACTTCAGTGAACAAGCTAAGATATATCTTAATGGAGACTCCCCTTTCTCCCATTTACTATCAGACATCTAATTCTCCAGCCATCATGGATGACAAAACATTCTTTAGCTGCAGCTAACATTAGAAAATAGTGTGAAGATTATAGGTATGAAACAAGTACAAAAATTTAATTCACTTTAATTTAATTTATTTACTCCCTCTTAACACAATGTATTGACTAGAATCAAGGGCAGTGGGACACAAAAGTATCCTACAACCAATTCCACAGAGATGCCAGCACCAAAACCACTGCTCTGCGGTTTTACAAAGGAAAAACATCTCTTTCAAAGGAACTTCAGAAAGGAGAAGAGTTACATTTCAGAAAAGACACCCAAGTACTGCAAAATAGACACAGGACAAAGCAAGAACTTGCCTTGTAATTTTTTTAGTCCTTCACACCTTTAAGCCTCTCCAATATCCCATAGCAATAAGTCAAATACATTGCATAAAAACTATGACCTTTGCCTGGTAAATACATTCAGTGCTTTTTCTTGTTTTATGAGAGACAAACAGACACTACTCAGTTTCACCTTTTCCATTCGACTCCTCACTTTATGGACTTCTAGTATATCCTCCACAGCTGCTTCTTCTCCATACTGAATTATCCTGGTATGTTTATGTTTTTCCTCACGTGGAAATCAGTCATCACTGCTGATTATGTTGGTTGCTATTTTCTCTACCTATTTTAGCAAACTGTGCTGCTCTTGTGGAGTCACTTAAATTTAAAAAAATTAAATCAACAACTTCCTACAGGACACTTGTCTGTTGACCTTGCAACGGACAGAGTGCATGAGCAAGCCCATCAAGTGCAGGAACAGGCTATGTGAGTACCAAGACCCCGCAGACAGATAATACTGCTCCCACTCCCACCCTTGCTCTGAAAAATTTCAATATTTGAATTCAAGCATCACATTTTTTGATATCTTTTCAAAAAAAGAAAGCAACCATGGAAAGTGAAGACAGTGCAAGGAATCAGAAACAAGTACCAACACAGCAAACCTACAGGAAGATCTGCAAACATCCCAAACTGTCTCCCTAGGAAGCTGACTTAACTCTAGCCACTGCATAAAAAGCTATCCTTGCGCAAAACGAGGCATTCACACCAGAGAAGCAGACGCTTCCTGATATAAGCTTCAAAGCAGCAGCTTGCTGGGTAGCAGGCACTGTAGTATGCTGCCTCTGTTCCTCTGCCAGAACTATTTATTTATATTCTTGTTTTGAAGCAGACTGGGGCTGTCCATTTCAGATCTGGCTCTCGCAGACTCTGTTTATCCCTGTTGCCACAGCCTCAGTGATGGTGTCCAATTTCTTAACCTTCATCGGTTTTCACTGCCCCCCTCATGACACGCACTTTTTCTCATCTGCAATGTTTTAACAGTTCATCAGAGCCACCCGTTACAACCCTGCCATATCAGCTCATGTTCCTCCTATCGTTTTCCCTTCCCAGCAGCCCTTCTTTCCACAGCCTGCACCCTGCTAAATATACAAAACACTGCACTTGAAGGAGCCAGGTGCCTGCCACTCACTCGGTGGAGCACAGCTCCACCTGTTTGCCAGGCCGGCACAGTGAATTTTAAGGAGGGATCCATAGGCCCCCAACCAAATGGCTCAAAAGCGCCCAGAGGCTTTATGTGCAGTAATTGCCCACGATGAGGAGTTACTCGGCTAGGACACTGTTCATCATAAATTAAAAACTGCTTGCCAGAGATCAACTTTCTACTGAGAGGGCCTCTCACACCTTATGATGGCAAAGAGGTTTTGCTTAGCTGTTGCCCTGAAATTCACTGGCCATGGGCCTATAGTAAACACAGCCTCCCTGTTTCACTTTCCCTTTCTACCTCAGTCTCTCTCTCTTACAACTCCATGTCCCCTGGAGAAAATCTTAATCCTCTTTTCATCCCCCAACACAACATAATTCCTTCTTTAGTCAAACTAAATCCTTAGTTAACCTTGGGGTTACGTGGGGTAAACGAGAAGTCACCTTCGATCCTGAGGCAGCCATCTTTTTTTGTGGATGCAATCGATCCTTATGGGATTGATTTTCCGGGGTCTTGCCCGATCCCCGATGAGAGAGAACCACAGAACTGTTCCGGCTAACAGTGGCCAGCAGGCACACAGAGCCTCAGGGGACTCCAGCCTCTATACACGGAGGTCACACGGGGGTGAAACCCAAGACAGGGTAAAACGCACCCATCGCCCCACGTTTGATGTGACTTCCCTCAGTACCCCCTATGACGGGGTTCCAGCCCGGGGCACCCAGCGCACTGAGAGCGCTCCCCAGCGTCTTCGCGGGTTTTTATTACCATTTAATTTTTTTTTTTTTTCCCCCTAAAGAGCGCATCAGTTCCTCGGTACCAGCACCGCCCACAGCCCCCGAGGCTGAGGGCAATGCTGCCTGTCAGGTGTCATCACCGGCTTCTGCCGGCCCAAGCTGCGGGGCGGGCAACCGGACACCCCCGTCCCGCAGCGCTGATGGTTCGCCGCCACCGCCCCCTCCGAAACCGGAGGTCAGGCCCCGCTCAGCGCTGCAGAGGCACCTGTTAGGAGCAAGTAATTCCCCACTGCCCCCTTATATTTCAGCTTGAGGAGCGAGGGAGGCCAGCGCGGCACTGGCCACCGCCGGCTCCCCGGGGCCGTGGCGGGGACACGCCGCGGACTTCGCAAACCCGGCCCCGTCCTCGTCCTCCCCTCCCGGGAGCAGTGGCATCCCCCCGCCACGCAAAGGGCGTTTCGATCGGCGAGAGCATTGCTGCGCTAGACCGGGGAATAAAAATAAAGCGGGGGGGGGAGGCGGGTTAAGGAAGTTAAGCGTTGAGAAGGGGGAGGAAAAGCATGCTGGGTTTGGATGCCCCCACCTCTGCTCTGCTTTTGAGGCTGCTCCTTTTAGGTCTGACCAGGACATCTTTAAAGTCCAGTTTGAGGTCTGCGTCTACCCGGGGCATCTCGCTGGGGTGCGGGTGCCGGGGCTGTCCTGGCAGCGGAGGCGGCGGCAGTGGCGGCCCTGCTGTGCTGACTGCACCGCCCCGCCTGCAGAGCCGAGCCGAGCCGCGCCGGCCAAAGCCCGCCGGCCGCGCACCGAGCGTATTTATAGGGCGCGGGCACCGGGCCCCATCGCTTTATTAGGCGAGGGCTGTTTTTAGCCGAGTCTCTGCCCCGTCCACTGCCGTAGCCATCCCCGCCTGTCCGCCGGGCAGTGTGCGGTGGGGGCAGACGGGGACGCGTCGCCCGTCCGCAACCGCCCCATGCGGGGCGAGGCGCCGGCGGCACCGCGGCGGCTTTAAGGGCAAAGCAAGGGCAGAGGAAATGGCGCCTCCATGTGACCGAGCGGGCCCCGCCGCCGCTGGTACCGGGTGCGGGAGCCCGGCAGTGCCGGGGCTGAACGGGCATCTTGGCCTGCCTCCTTCTACCTTCCACCGCCCCGAGCGGGGGTTTGCGGTGTTCCCTAGCGCTGATAGCGCTGCTGAAGCACGGGCTAAAATGCTGTCCCTCTAGCCACATAAAAAGGACGCCAGTTGGTATAGCTGGGCTGTCGTGGGAATCCCGCTTCCCCGGGGTGCTCCGCTCCGAGCCCAAACCTGGCCCCGTCCCTGCCCGGCATGCGGCAATCCTGAGGCGGGGTGGGCTCCCCGTGGCACTGCGGAGCACAGCAGAGGGGCACAGTGGGCCTTTGGCGTTAGAGACGTTGGGAAATGTGCAGCTGGTTGGTCACAGGAGAGTGCTCAGGGCACCAGCCACCTGCAGCTGCCTCAGCAATGTCCTGCTTCCCTGCACTTAGAGAAGCAACGGGGGGGGTTGTGTTTGGTTGGGGTTTTGGTTTTCTTTTTTTTTTTCTTTTTTTTTTTTTTTTTTTTTTGTGTTGGTTGTTGTTTTTTTTTGGTTTTGGGTTTTTGTTTTTTTTTTTTTTTTTTTTTTTTTTTTTTTTTTTTTTTTGGTGTTGGTTGTTGGTTTTTTGTGGTTTGTTGTTTTGGGGGTTTTTTTGTGGGTTTTTTTGTTTGTTTGTTTGTGTTTTGTTTTGTTTTGTTTGGGGTTTTTTGGGGGTATTTTTTTTTGGCGGGGGGGAGGGGTGTCTGTTTTTCTGGGTTTTAGTTTTTTCCCCCAGTATACAGAAGCCTGATTTGTATATTTCCTCCAATTTCAATGGTGCTAGCCACGGTTTAACACACAAGTCAAAAACCACTCACAGCAGCAGGACTGCACAAGCTGAGTCCATCCACATCTGCTGCCAGAGGGATCCATACAGGGTTACCGGATACCACATGAGATGACTTCCACAGGAGTCTTAAACCTTAAAGTCTATTTAATTATGAAGTCAGTGGGTTTTAAGATTTGGACTTTGGAAGACACATGAGCTAAGCATTTTTAGTGACTGGAAACCGAAGCCTGGGACACTTAGTCAGACACATTGCAGGAGGAGGTAGCGCTCTCTCCCTTATCTGAAAGTTGCATACATCTGGTCCACACCCTGCCTCCCACAGAGCTCTTCTACACCTCTCTGCCTCAGTGTCCCAGATGATCCAATATGACCAAGCATGATCCCAGGGCTTTCAACAGAAGGCAGAATTTAGTGTTTGCAATTTTGATTGTCCAGGTGGAGAGGCCTTCAGTCTGGGACTTTGGAACTCCAGATGATGTTCCAGGAGAGCCTTGCTGTTGTGAGTATTTCCCATGGAGATATTCAGGAAAAATTACTCTATAACTTGTTTGATCTACATAACGGAGGTCACTCATTTGGTGTTTTCTCCACAGTATAAAGGAACTACTAAAACATATTTTTCAAAGAGACGTATGTGCCACTATTTACTGTTAAGTAATAAGAGTACTGATGAGAATGCGTCCTGTGGAAGTGGCATGTCTGTAGCAGAGGACTGATAATGGAAAAAAACAAATGCAATCTGTCTGTGCCTGGCACCAGGTCTTCCATTTGCCCTCATGGCAGGCATGTGATGCTGAGAAGAAAGAAAGAAGCCACTGCATTGCACTGTGAATTCAAAAGGTCAGCACTGTTTTGAGGAGTAGGAGATGGAGGCTAGCAGTGATATGTGTAAGCCACAGAAAATGCATGTCTGATGCTGTTTACAATTTCTAGCATGATAGTCTCCACTCACGGAGCTCACAGTGCTGTTTTCTTGCAGATCACAGTATCTGCTATTATCCATTAATTCCCCATGTATGCATACCAACAAACTAGTCAGGTGTCTCAGATCAGCTTCAGTGTTCTTTAAAGTTTACAAAGTTTGAAATTCTCTAGTTTCTTACGTCAGTATATATTTTCTGTAATCAAAATTATGTTTTCTTGTTGAACCACCTCTTTTTTTTCGTTGTCCTTTCTGAAGTATGGGCACTAGAGGGGACATGATCAATAATCACATTCATGTCACAGCCAGAAATGAAGATCACCTCTTATGTATCTTTGTTATTCCTCTTTATAATACTGCCATACACCTGCCATAATGGATCCCATGTTATCTCTTTCTGCTATGGGAAAAAAAGCTGTTCATCCAGGCTGGATACAGTTTAGTCTTCAAGTGCAAATGAGCCATCACTAATTTTAAATTCAGCATATGTAAATGATTTGTTACTTTCCTTCAGAGTTCTTTTTTTCTCTACTTCATTGCTTTATAGTTATATTTAAAAGCAGATGGAACAATGCACTCAGAAGAGAACTGCTCAGCCACTGTAGCTGAAAAGACCAATGCCAATGTAGATTTGTAGGTCTTCTAAAAGTTTTCTAAACCTGGTGTTTTTGAGAAGAGGAAAAAGTGATCATTATAATGTGAATAGTTACTACTGTATGTAAAGCCTATTATTAGCTAAGATTGTTGAGCTTGTGGTTTTCATCCTGCTATTGTAAATGCTGCTGTATGTAATAGTATACATTACTTCACAAATCTGACCTGGTAACAAAGGACATGGAAGAGGCTGAGGTACTCATTGGCATCTCCACCATGCTCTTCCCTGGTAAGATTTATCTCAGGATTCCCAGGTCCCTGAGACTCATCAGAAAATCAGGAGTAGTGAAGACACCCTCATAAGAGCAGGATCAGATCGGGAGGGCAAGTTCTGAGGACTGGAAAAAGCAAATATCAGTCCTGTCTTTGAAAAGAGTGAGAAGAAAGGAAGATCTGCACTTCAGTGCCTGAGAAGGTGGTGGAGCAAATAATCCTGGAAATCATTTTCAGATGAATGAAGGACAAGAAAGATTGAAGCTAGTTGGCATGAATTTATGATGATAAAATCATGCTCAGCTCACTTTCTAAGATGAAATTACTTGTTGAGTGGATGAGGAAAAAGCAATGGATCTTGTTTATTTTGATTTAGGCTTTTGACAGATTTCAAGTAACATTTTTGTAGGGAAACTGATGAGGTGTGGACTAGCTAACAGGATATTGAAGTGGGTTGAAAACTGACTGAAATTTGGGCTCAAAGGCCTGTGATTGGTGCCATTAAGTAGAGCTGGAGGCCAGCTATTTGTCGTGCAGCGGGTTAATTGTATGCAGCGTTGAAAACACTTCTTTTTATCAATGCCTAGTATTTTTTTTATTTAAATACTTAACAGGTCCTCAGTAACTCCTTGGTACTGAAAGAAGCATTCAGTGACAACCTGAAAGTATGAGCACTCATGAGGACCTGAAACACCTTTAGGGTGAATGCTTAATGATGTTCTCATTATTTGTCAAGAGAAATTCTGGTCACAGCAGATATACAGCTAACACAACTGAAGGCACCTGCTGATTTCCTTGCTCTGGTTCCTAGGAAAATACTATAGCCTCTCGTAGCTCCATACAGACAGCCTGTAACATAATTAGCGTGCCTGTTTAAGGAGTGTGGTGAGCACTAGTGAAAGCATTGCTCAGCTGGCAAGTGCTCCCACAAACTGTGTGTCACAACTTCCCAGCAAAATCCCATATCTGGAAAGAACAGCATGCTGCAGGACATGTGTGATGAAGATCTTTCACTCTTAAGGAAAAACAGTACATTTGAGGAAAGAACCTTGTTTTTCTTACGATAAATGTAAATCCCTTTTATTGTTCTGTTTGAGTTCAAGCCTTGTCTACTCTGAATAGCATTTCCCAGTGGATGGATCAAGAAACATTACTCAGCAAACCCTGCAAATGCAAGAAAATTTCCTTTTGTAGGGGAGATAAGGGTGTTTCTCTGAACTATCAATGTTATTACAGCATCTACGTTAAGGCTTTTGCTGACCTTGATAGCCACCAGAAATGGGAGGAGTGGTGCTGACAGCACTGCCTTTCATAAGTGTGCCAAGCAGACTTCAACTACATGCATGGAGATCACTTGTTACAAAGAAACTTGTGTGCTGTAAGTATTTTCATTTAAATCCAAAGGTCTTAGAGAAAAAATAAACCTAGTCGCTAATCATCAGCTAAATCCCAGGCCCACACTGAAGCAGTAGGACAACTTCTCATTCAAGGTACAGTTTACTTAGGAGTAAGTGACAGTATCTATTCCCATTTGATTTCAGCAGGTTTCAAATGTTAATTGTAAGTAATCACAGCAATCTATAATTAATGCAACTCTGACCTTCCTTGACTCATGAAATATGCTTAGAGTCTGTCTGTGCTGATAAGTGAAGTGGACCACACCAATCTGTCCCTGCAAGGCAAGATACAGAGTGTGGCTCACACTAAGCCATTTAGATACCATATGTGAGCTTCAAGGGGTCTCACTTAAACTGCATATTGAAAACAGTTTGATGCTGTTCCCTGAACTGTCCTCAGACTACCTGAAGGAGTGGTAGCTGTCCAGGTTGTTCAAGGGAGTGTGATTCTAATTAAAGAGTGTGGACTGTTGCATTGTAGAGCTTGTAGCTGGGTCCCTGCTCAGGTCCAGTTTGGTTTACTATTGGACTTTATTGGCACGGAAGTGGTTTATAGATTTTTTTTTTTAATATGGTCAAAACCTGTTGTATCCTATCCATTATGAACTGATACTTCTGTTCATTACAGAACTACAGTTCTACATACTGTAAAAGGCAGTGAGATTGTCTCTGTGGAAATATTAACTCATCTCACAGGATATAACAGGTATTCTGTTACTGCTACATAGCTTTACATAAGAAGCCATCCTCTCCTTAACAGTGCCCACTGGTAGAACGAGAAATGGACAGAAACTGAAACGTAGGAAATTCTATCTGAGCATTAGAAACCACTTTTTCTTCCTGTGAGGGTGGTCTACATGATTTTGAAAGGTCCCTACCAACCTCAGCCACTCTGTGATTCAGTGGTTCCGTACATTACTTTGTCATTGCAGAGTATCTTCATCTG